GAGCATCTCATGGTACCTTCGAGAATCTTGTTATTGACGAGCGATCATACCATTGGATTGTATTATCTGGAATAAATGCATGACTATTGTTTTCTATATATTGATGAGTAATCAATGCGTAGTAAATAGAGTGTAATAGCATGTATTTGATTTAAAGAGTAATGCAATAATGATTTATAGAAAGGTTATCAAATAAGAAAGAAAGAATTGATGATAGAGTTATATCTGTATATAAGCTCGATCACAACACTTATTCCAACTACTATATGCAATTGATTGTCTTGTACACCCTCTTGCTAACATCGCGCCGGACCCGGATCTTGGTAACTCATGGCTTCCATCTCCGCCTTTCTTCAATGACCTATTTGTAATCTACCTTCCATTTGCATCGCTACAGTGGTAAGTCATATACGGTGGTAAGTCATATCAAAGTGCCAAGTCGATAGTCGTACCAGAGGATCAGTTACAAATACAATAATCTGCAAGTTTTTTCTGCCTCCAACTCCTGTTTTCCCTTAAATGCTCTCTGTAGGGTTTTTATATTTTCCCCCAAATTTAACATGTTCATCCTTTGTGGCATTTTATGCTCTATTGAGTTGAGCATACATTGTTGTAAATAATAAAATTAAATCTTTAATCTGAGTGAACTGAGCAGATAATGGTTTGGGTGTGATCTTGCCAACACAGAAAATTAACACAACGAGCTTTGAATCATATCGTTCAATAACATGTATCGCCTACTGCAATCTTTAACATCGTTTTTATAAATTAAACATATCGAAACGGGCTTTCTGGATATTTTTTCATTAGTCTCATTAAAAAATTTTCGTCCACCATTGCTTGTACCTCGATTAAGACAGGAGAAAGAGTTTTTTTGATTATCTAATTCAAGCTCATATAGAGTGTCGCTCCTTGTATTATTGAGCTATTCACTTGACATGACTCATCATCTACCAAAACGTAAATATAAATGTAAGTCTGACTCCAATCTCGTTATCGCAATCGTTGATAGGTAATATGGAACACATAAATATCTATATGGGACGAGCGATTGTTTAACTGTAAGATGATTTACATCAATAAGTACGTTTAATAAAATATATCATATTATGTATAACTGAAAAGCAATATAAAGTATAATTAGCGCCTGATGTAAAATCACAATGAAGTTAGTGTTTATGAAGAGAGTTATTATATGTCCAAGCGCCTTCGTCAAGAAAAGGTTTTCCAACCATTTCACCCAACAGCGATACAGTGCGCTTAGAATAATGATCAGAGGCGTCTACGTCCCTACTAAATGTAAAAAGCTTCGGATGAAAGTCCTCAGTTCGATGCGCCTCTCGATCCTTTCTAATTTTTCTTTGCCAGTTCTCAATTTTTGATTTTTCTTCATTTGCGACTGAATAATTTTTTTCTTTGAGTGCTTCTGTCACTGGACGCCATAATCGATGAGATTCTATTTCCGTCTGTTCTTCTAGTGGGGGTGTTTTGCGTTCAGCCATAGGTTCGTCCTCTGCATCAAATAATAACTCCTTTGTTGAAGACCCTGTTTTAGTAAAGAAAGATTGGCTGGACCATCTACCAGATAAGTCACAGTAAGGCTTGTTATTGTATGTGATATGACCTTTGATGCGATGATATTCGCCACCAAACCATGGTTTTGGAATAAATTCAATCACTGTTTTGGCACCAGAACTACTGGCAATAGTGCAGACACCACTTAGTTCCAGATAACATGAACCCGTTAATACTCCACGGATCAATAAATCAGGATAATCAATGACGTATTGCTCGTCAAACTTCTTCAGGTTAAGCACAGCGCGGCCTACTTGTTCCACTTTAATAGTGGTACCCTTGAATTTAGATTTTTGGCCACCTAATAATTATTAATATACGCACACGGTTAGAACATTTAAAGGAAAACTTACAGTGACCATTGAGAGACACACCCTCAACTTCATTCTCAAGATAAAATGCCGAAATAGGTGGGTGATGACAAACTAGTAAACTTTACGTAAGCATCCGATCAGAACCTATGATCGCCCATTATATTTACCTTGCTCACATATGCACTTTATATTGCCCATGTGACAGTGAAATTGTTCCCCAAGAATAGGATTGTAAGGCTTTTTCTCGGTCAGACCGTTAGTACAACGTGATGCATAACTACCCCACAAGGTTGACATAAACCATCTTGCCACAGCGAGCATACGTTCTATTGAATCATTTAATTAGATTTATTTCCTTATATGTTGATACAATTGTTACCTTCTGGATCATCTGAATCAGTCACAGCATTAAAGCTATAAAAAAAAAAGAGCATTAACAATCCACCTCGGGAAAAAATAGAAGGACGTACCAAGTTGGATGGTCACCCCAGTAAGTTCTTCATATTGAAAGAATAAAAAGAAATAAGTATTAACACTTAATAAAAACCCATTTATATTGAGTTATTACCCATATTCGAGCAAAGACAATCCATTTAAAAAGAAGGCAGGGCAAGTAAGCGAAGAGAGATCTCCCGTAAAACTAATGACGGTTTTCAGAAACTCTTTAAACTGTCCACCATAACCAGGCTCTGGGTCTTTGATACTCAATTTGTCAACGTCACTTACAGAAGGGGTTGTTTCTGCGGATCGGTGGTGGCTTTTACTTAATCCGAAAATTGCCATAGTGTATGTTTGTGTATCTGAAGAAGAAGCTTAAAATTATGGATTTTTTAAATTGCCTTCTTAAACAAAAAAATGATATTGAAACAGCGAAAAAAAAAAAAAAAAAAAAAAAGTCTTTCAGTTCAAGTAAAATGAATCAACCAATTTACTGTCACATACCGAAAAGAAGCTGATGTTTATATCATCAACAATGCTGAAATCTTACAATTGCCACCATGTCTGACCACAAGTTTATTTTATATTGTAAGGGTAAACGAAACCCATCGGCATTGGCGGAGTACCACAAGAATAATGCAGCCCAGTCTCACATATATATTGGGATCAGCCACCTGACGGAAGGGCTGTAGGCCATTTGATTCCCCTCATCTTTTAAGAGATGCACATGACATAAATAAAGATAAACAAATGATGTAGTGAATTTTTTTTATTGGTGATGAATTACGTTGACACAAAATAGTGAATTTTAAAGGGTGTAGGCGTGTGTGGAGAGAAGAGAAAAAGAATAGTCTAAAAGATCGATGATAAATAACTTTAAAGTAACCAAAATAAATGACACCATAGTATGATATGAAAGAAAAAGAAATGTACATGTTAATAAATCATCGATAATAAGGGGGATGTTTGTTGAAAAAAAGTGAGGGAAATATTACAGGTTTTTTTTTATAGTTGTTTTTTACTTGGAAAGAACTTCCAATAATAACTTGGAACCAGAATTGCTTTGAGCAGCTTCTTCAATTTCCTTCTTGTGAGATTTGAGCTCCTTCTTTACCTCCTTTGCAGTTGATGGTTCTTCAGCAAGAGCGAGGACAATGAAACTACCATGGTTGACAGCAAAATGAGCAAGGTTAGGCTTGATGACCTCAAGTAACTTGGGAGCAAACTCAAGAGGTTCAACAGCCTTATCGTTTTCAGTCTCGGCAGAATCAGCCTTGATCATAGCCTTGATAATACGATTAGCGAAACGATCTTCAATGATGTGGTGTTCATTTTCAACATATTCAGCACATAAGGCTAAAATAGATTCGATAGCAGCAGATTTGTCACCAATAGCATGAAGCATGATTTCTTGAACAACTTGGGAGGAAAGTTTCTCTCTCATGAGAGTATTAGCGTCATCTGTCACCAATTTGATCAATTGAGGAGATGTGGCCTTTAAAATTTCACGAGCTCTAATCTCAGGTTCTTTCTTACTCACTCTGATCTTATCACCTTCCTTTAAGAGTTCAACAGTTTCGCGTGATAAGTATCTAGTGTTACGACCAGCCAAAATATACATGAAGAAGCGACGACCAAACTTATCGGCAAATAATTCCTTCGCATGTTTACTTAATTCACCAAGAACAGCCTTAGTAATCAAAACGGTATCATCAGTGACATCCAACAGACGAAGTAAAACAAGGTAGCCATGTTCATCAGAAGCAATTTTTTGTAAGAAAGGCTTGAAAGCCTTAATAATGTTCTTACGATCCTTAGGTGCAGCAATAGAGAGACAGATCATAGCAACCCAAGCACCTTCACGGGTATGAACGATTTCTTGGAGAGATTCTTTGAGGTGACCCATCATTTCTTCACGGCCCTTATCATCAGCCAACATCATGTATTGGTACATAGCTTTGTGTACAATACTATTGACAATTGTTCCCTTATCCAAACACCCTTGAAGCATATCGGCCATAAATCTCAAAATAGAATCCTTCTTTTCGGGGAATGATTCCAATAAATCATCCAAGGTCTTGGCTCCTCCGCCACGATTGAATAAAGTCATTTCAGGACCGTAGAATTCGGCTAATAATTCATGTCTTTGAGTAGCGTTGGCATATTGAGAATAAAAGGTCTCGATAACTGTAGAGGCTTCTTTGTGGCGAATTAATTTACGGATATGGGTTCTAAATTCAGACAAAATGCTATCTCTTTGCTTGTGACTGTAATAATAGTAAATGGTTAAAAATCTGTTTTGTACGCAGTTTTATTCCTTGACTCACCAGTACTCAATAGCCTTAATAACGATAAATTTACCGTACATAGACTTGGAAAGTTCAACATATTTGCCCTTAAGTTCCTCGACAATTTGGTTTCTTTGCTCAGCATTACCTTTCTTGAGACAGGTTTGAATCATACGAGAAGCATCATGCTTGAAAATAACCTACAAGATGAAATTACAATGTTAGTCCAGGCACTATTTATCTATTTTAATGGTTACTTACATCCTGGACCTTGCCACCAATGATTTCCATGATTTTAGCCATCAAATTCTTTTGCTCTTCACGGGTGATATCACTACGACGGAGTTGTTCCCAAACCTTCTTGGCCTTTACCATCATCTCAAAGTTTTTATCGTGAGACTTTCTTGCGAAAAGAGTGGACTTCTGCTCATTACGGGCATCTATGAGATAAGAGTTAGAATCAGTTACATATCAGTTTTGTTTTTTGCTGTGTTACTTACCCATCTTTGACTTCTTGTTAGGTTGTTGCTGCTTTTGCTCGCTGCTGAATCTTTTTTCTCCAATCTCAGACATGTTTTTAAAGGTTTTTGATCTAGATTAAAGCAAGAACAGGTTTATCTTTTTTTTTTATAAGAATTTGAATGTCAAAAAAAGTTCCCGCAAAAAAATGGAGAAATCAAGTCACAGGCAAGCCACAATGGGAGAAATAATTAAGTTATCTATTTTGACAGATGGGAGCTCCCCCATTGTTTAAATTCAGGTCCAAATAGCCTTCAAGACACACAATCTCAAGTCGAAATCGAAATTTATCATTCGTATTATGTTTCTTTTTTACCAGAACTGAGAATTTGCTTATATGCTTTAATATAACTTGAACTCAAAAAAAAAAAAAAAATTCAAGAGTTCTTTGTTTCATGATGGGAACGAAAAATGTATTTAACTGTTCAGTGTTTGCGTATGACACAAAACAAATTGTTTATACCTCGCGGTACACTACAATGATGAACAATATTGCCATATTTAAATCTTCAGAATAACAACTGTAATAAATAAGGGAACTTGTTAGCATAAACGGATGAAATATTATGACCAGCCTTAATCAATTGAATGTCTACTTAAAATACAAAAAAAAACACGCGCATCAACGCGAGACTGCCGGAATCCGAAAAAAATTTACCAACAACGCGCCGTATTTTTTTTCTGTTGTTCCTTCTCTTTTTAAATAACTTATAATAATGGCTTCAAAACCCGAGTTTGGTGTATCCTCATCAAAATTTGGTGGCGGCCAAAGAGGAGGCGGTAATCAACGAGGAAGAGGTCGTGGAAACCCTGGAAACTTTGTTCGCACCACCTCGTCTTTTATAAACCATGGATTGCCTACCGGTGGCACGAACGACGTTTCTAATGTTGATCAAAAATTTGAGGATGTTCGTGTGTTGGACAACTTGGAGGTTCCTTTCGGATTTGAACGCTATCAAGAGGGACCAGAGCGATTAGGTTGGCTTCTGAACATGCATGAGGTAAAATATCAACTATTTCGGTTCCCTTGTTAACAGACTGACAATTACTTAATTAGACTTTAATGAAAGATTCAGACTGGGAAACTGGTAGATCAGGTGTCGACTTCTATTTCATTAATGATAATGGCGAAACATTTAAGACCACAATGTTACATAGTCCATATTTTTTTATTCACTGCAAGGTAATTAATTCAAAGTAACTGTAACTAAATCCTTGTTCGCCAACCAAAACAAATTTTTGTAGCCGGGTACAGAAGGAGAAGTAGAAGATTATTTACATAGACGTTTCGACGATACCATTGAGAAAATGAAGCGTGTCAAAAAGGAAGACCTGAAACAAGTAGGAATATAATTGGCACATAATCATTAATCTGTCTCTAATTCGTACTATTTTACTTACAGCCTAACCATTTAATTGGTAATACCCGTACATATATTCAACTCTCTTTTAGAAACCAGGCCGACCTTTACACCGTTAGACGAATTTTGATGCCTGTTGCAAAGAAAAATCAGGAAAAGGCAAATACCGTAGACAGTTATGCGGAGGTCGTCAAGTAAGAGTTACAACATGTCAAAGTCTAGGCAAATATTGACATTTTTTGTTGTTAATTTCAGCGCAGCGAATAACATTGGATACGAAAATCAACCTCATTTTGCAGCAATGTCATCACGTAAAAATCCCGAAGACACCTTAGATAATATTCTAGATATTCGTGAATATGATGTACCATACTATGTTCGTGCAGCTATTGATTTAGGTAACGACTTATAGATTAGTTTGAAAAAGATTGGATCGTATTGATAGTGTAAGGTAGATATCCGTGTTGGTCTTTGGTACATAGCAAAAGCGAGTCATAATGGCACAATATCCCTCACAAAACGCCCTGATTTAGTTCATCGTCCAGAACCTGTCATCTTAGCGTTTGATATCGAAACCACGAAACTCCCGTTAAAGTTTCCAGATGTAGCCATTGATTCCATCATGATGATCTCATATATGATTGATGGCCGAGTAAGTACTTCAAATATATCATTAATCCAACCAGTGATTAAATTGTATTTGCTATTTTTTAAAAGGGTTATTTAATTACAAATCGAGATATTGTTAGCCAGGATATTGAAGATTTTGACTATACACCAAAACCTGAGTTCGAAGGTCCTTTTACTATTTTCAACGAACAAGACGAAGAGGCCTTATTACGGAGATTCTTTGAACATATTCAAGAAGCTAAACCCACCATCTTTGTTACCTATAACGGAGATTTCTTCGATTGGCCATTTGTGGAAGGAAGAGCAAAAATACACGGCATCGATATGTACCAGGAAATCGGTGTTTATAAAGATGATGAAGACGAATATAAGTGTAAACACGCAACCCACATGGATGCTTTCCGTTGGGTCAAGCGTGATTCATATTTACCGCAAGGTAGTCAAGGCCTAAAGGCTGTTACAACTGCAAAACTAGGCTATAATCCCATGGAGCTGGATCCTGAAGATATGACCAGATTTGCGAGCGAATTCCCACAAACTTTAGCACAATATTCAGTTTCCGATGCTGTCGCCACGTATTATCTGTATATGAAGTATGTACATCCTTTTATTTTCTCACTTTGCAATATTATTCCGCTAGTGCCGGATGAGGTATTGAGAAAAGGTACAGGTACACTGTGTGAGTTGCTCTTGATGGTGGAGGCATTTAGAGTGAACGTCATTATGCCAAATAAGCATGTGGACCAAATTAACATGTTCTACGAGGGACACCTCCTAGAGAGCGAAACGTATGTCGGTGGACACGTAGAGGCTCTGGAAGCTGGAGTATTCCGAAGTGATATTAACACCGATTTTAAGACAGATCCTACAGCTGCACAAGAGGTAAAAAAAAAAAAAAAAAAAAAAGGAAAAAAAAGTGTTGTATTTTACTGGACCTCAAACATACTCACCTTTTTATTTTTTTATATATATATTACAATAGTTAATAGATCAACTAGACGATGCCTTGAAATTCACTATTCAAGTCGAAGAACAAAAGAGTTTGGATGATATTGCTAATTATGAGGAAATCAAAGCACAAATCAAAAAAGAATTAGAAGAGTTGCGTGATCGGCCTGCACGTCAAGAACCACCCCTAATCTATCATTTGGATGTTGCAGCCATGTATCCTAACATCATTTTAACAAATCGTCTTCAACCCGATGCTATGGTGGATGAATCAGAATGCGCCACTTGTGAATTCAACACAACAGATAAGACCTGTGATCGCCGTATGAAGTGGATGTGGCGCGGTGAATATTTCCCGGCTAAAAAGAACGAATATCGAATGATTGAAAATCAGCTGAGCATTGAAACCTTTCCTCCCAAATACCCTACTGGTCCTACACGTACCTGGAATGCCTTGACCGATGCTGAGAAGTCGGCACTGGTGCGATCACGTCTAACCGATTACAGTAGAAGGGCTTACAAAAAAGTGAAAGAAACCCAGACCGTGGAAAGAGAATCCATCATTTGTCAACGAGAAAACCCATTTTATATTGAAACTGTACGTGCTTTCCGTGACCGTCGTTATGAATACAAAGGGCTTCACAAGACATGGAAGGGGAAACTTGATGTCGCTTCAAAAGATGGTTCAGCTACCAAGGTCGCAGAGGCCAAAAACATGATCGTCCTATATGATTCTCTTCAATTGGCTCACAAGGTTATTCTGAATTCCTTTTATGGTTATGTTATGAGAAAAGGTGCTCGTTGGCATTCCTTAGAAATGGCGGGTATTGTTTGTTTAACTGGTTCAAAAATTATTCAGATGGCTAGACAGTTAGTAGAACGCATTGGTCGTCCACTTGAATTGGATACAGACGGTATTTGGTGCATCTTGCCTAAAAGTTTTCCTGAAACTTTCACGTTTAATTTAAAGAATGGCAAAAAATTCCGTATCGACTATCCTTGTACCATGTTGAATCATTTAGTCCATGCCCAATTTACCAACGATCAATACGAAAGACTTTCCAACCCAGAAACATTTGAATACACCGTTAGTAAAGAGAACAGTATCTTTTTCGAAATTGATGGCCCTTATAAAGCCATGATTTTACCTTCTTCCACTGCTGAAGATAAGTTACTTAAGAAGCGTTATGCGGTATTCAACGATGATGGTTCTCTTGCTGAATTAAAGGGTTTCGAAATAAAGCGTCGTGGTGAACTCAAATTGATCAAGATCTTCCAGTCTGAAATCTTCAATGTTTTTTTGGATGGTACAACGCTTGAGGAATGTTACGCAGCTGTGGCCAGAGTTGCGGATCGATGGCTCGATGTTTTGTTCAGTAAAGCGATCAATTTAGACGATGATGAACTATTCGAACTGATTTCAGAAAATCGAAGCATGTCTAAAACACTTGAAGAGTACGGTGCTCAAAAATCGACATCTATCACTACAGCCAAACGTCTTGCCGAGTTCTTAGGTGACCAAATGATCAAAGATAAAGGTTTGGCTTGTAAATTTATTATTTCGGCTCGTCCTCATGGTATCCCAGTCTCCGAGAGAGCTGTTCCTGTGGCTATCTTTCAAGCCGAACCTGGTGTCAAGAAGCATTTTTTGAGGAAATGGTTACGTGATAATTCCCTTGAAACTTTTGATATCCGTGATATTTTGGATTGGGATTATTATCTCGAACGTTTTGGTTCGGTCATTCAGAAATTGATTACCATCCCTGCAGCTATGCAAAAAGTTCGTAATCCTGTCCCTCGTGTTAGACATCCTGATTGGCTTTTTAAACGTGTAGCTGCCAAAGATGACAAATTTAAACAACATCGCATTACGGACATGTTTGGAAAATCCGACAAGCCGTTGATGGAAGATATGATGGATGTGGACGATATTGAAGAGCTGAATATTTCGGGTACTGCTACGGGTATTCTACCTAAAATTGCTAAAGTAACAAAGCGAAAACAGGCCAAGCCCATTTTCGATATCGATGCCCCTTTGCCTGAAGAGGATCTTAAGAGCAATATGCCTGATTGGAACGAAGATTATCCCGAATGGCTTGAGTTCCAAAAGCGTAAATGGAAAAGACAGCGATTAATTCGTGAACACAACAGAACTAGTGGAATAAGTAAGCAATTTCCCAGTCAAGCAAACACAGCTTCTAGTTTCTTTAGAAAACAAACAGGTTCGCTAGTCATGAGTGTATGGGAGGTCCTACAAATCGTCGAGACGGATATTCCTGGCGAATATCGAATGTGGGTTATTGTACAAGATCAAATGTTTAATATCCGTTTGACGGTGCCTCGTATCTTTTATCTCAATAGTAAAGAAAAAGAGCCTGCTGAAGTGATGAATCAAAACCCCTCTTGTGATATGGCCAAATGCTCTCGTGTTTTGCCCAGATCTCATCCTTGCTCGAATCTTTTCCATATGTCAATGCCTGAAATTACATATCAAAATGAGCTCAAAAAATTTTCGAACATTTTCAATCACCCTACTACAGAGGGTGTTTACGAAACTCAAGTACCCCTTATGACTCGTGCCATTTTACAACTAGGTGCCACTTGTCAATTTGACAGATCCAAAAACTCATCTACGCGTCGTCTTGATGATCAATTCAACCTATATGACTTGGTTAAACGTACGGATGCTACACCCCATTACATCAAGAACCCAAAGATGTTCCAATACATTTATCTTTTCCACGCCCATTGTGATTCTAGGCATTTCTTCGCTCTAGTTGGACCTACTATCCCTATATCACAGGTTTATGTGGTAGGCCTCTCCAAGAAAAACCAACAAATGCCCAACGTTGCACGCATGTATAAGGAAAAGTACGAGAGTATGTTTAAGGAAGGCAACCCAGGAAGTGATACTGTGGATTTAGCTAGCGAATTAGATTTCGAAACAACCTATTACGTTACAGAAACTGAGGCTCTTCGAGCAGTCAACAAATCACTCATGAAATACCTTGATTCAAGACACGGTAAAAGTATTTTGGCGATTAACTCCCCGCGCTCTTCTTCCCATTTGATTCAACATGCTCGTAATATCACATCGTTGCCATTTGTGCGAGTTCCTTCGCTACAGGAAGATAACCGATTTGATGCATTAAATTGGACTGTACCGATTGTCAAACGTATGATCAAACATTATTTGGATTTAAGCAACTGGATTGATGATAAAACATCTCAAGCACGTTACGCTAATATACCTTTCTGTAACATTCCTGATGATCCTTATTTGTTCATGTCGGATATCATGTTTGCACGAAAATTAATCGAAAATGATATGGTACTATGGTGGTCAGCTTCTAGTATGCCTGATCTCGGTGGTCGTGAAGAAGACGAAAATGTGAACATCACAAGTGAAATTATGAATACAGAACTCAGTTACCCAGGCGCATATGAGACTGTTTGTGTGGAGATTGAGGTGGTGCGACTCTGTTTAAACACTTTAATGGAAGCACCCGTCATTAATGAATTGGAAGGTACTTCGGGTATGGGTGGTTTTGATAACGCAAGTCATACATTAGATGAATACCAAGGGGGTGCTGTTAGCAATACCGCATCATTTGGTGAGAGCATGATTTCAGGAAAGACCTTCTCTATGCTTCGTGCTTTGGTGCTTCAATGGTTTAAACAGGCAGCAACAGACAAAGAGAACAAGTTTGGAGAGCATATGATCGATTGTTTACATCGCTGGTTACTTAGCCCGAGCTCATTTATGCACGATCCTGCTTTATACGGTCTTGTACATGGTATGATGAAGAAGGTCTTTATGCAACTGGTGGCAGAGTTTAAACGGTTGGGTGCGACCATTGTGTTCGCTAATTTTCACAAGATTGTGCTTACAACTAGCAAAGAAACTATTGAAAGCGCTTTACCTTATTTTGATTACCTATATCGATCTATCCAACGCAAGCAGGTATTCGAAATTCTCGAGCTTGACCCCTCTTTCTACTGGGATATTTTGCTTTGGATGGACGAGAAAAACTATGCTGGTATGATGGTCAGTGACATAAAGGGTCAACTGCAACATGTCGTAACAAAGAAATGGAACATTGAAGAATATTTACCTGCGGCAGCTCGTGGAATGTTCAGCAAACAAACCTCCTCCTTCGTATACAAACTTTTTACGTTAAAACGTGATTTTCCCCGCGACATCAGCAGTGTTATTAAAGAAGCAGATGATAATCGACCAGATATCCGTCTACAAAAACTCCAACTCTATATAAAGCAAGAAGTGGCGAGAAAGATGCTTCGTATGGTACCTGCTTTAGTTCGTCGTCAAGAAGAGCAAAATCATCTCCATGATCCTGATCTGGAGTTTCCTCAGTTAGCGGGATCGCATCTTCCCATGGACAATCCAGCGTTAGAATACGTTAAATCGGTGTGTGCTATTCTGAATTTAGAACCAAGAATTGAGGATGAAGTTCGTATTCTGAAACGTAGTGCACTTGAATTGGTAGGCGGATTAAGTGATTTTAGCAGTATTGCACAGTTCCGTAATCCCTGCGAATATTTCAAGCTGACCGAAGTTATATGTATTTATTGTAATTTCACGGCAGATCTGGATTTCTGTAGAGACAAAGAATTGATGCCCCAGAATGGCCAGGTTCAAGCATGGCGCTGTAAGGGATGCCACTGTGAATATGATAAATTTCTGATTGAAGAACGTATGATTGCCCAAATACAAAGATGGGTCACATCATTCCAACTTCAGGATTTACGATGCCATCGATGCCATACAGTGAAAAAGGAAAATCTCATGCTGCAGTGCGATAAATGCGGCAGTCAATACTCAAGTACCCAAAGCAAGCCCGAATTGGAGCGAAAAATTAAAGTGTTTAAAAATGTAGCAGAAGAGCAGCAACTGGTTGCACTATCAGAAGTTGTTGACTGGTGTTTAATGAGACTGTAATAACCATTGTTCACCATTGTATATATATATGTATATTATGTGCTATCTAGTGCATAAAATCAAAATTTGTCATATTTTTTTTTCACAGCATAATAAACTAATTTTAACATGAATGTCTTGTTGACGCATTACTGTAGCTTTGGTTCCGCTCATCAAGGATCGAAGGGCTGCTGTCTTTTATGATCCTGTTGAAGCGATGAAAATAAATAGCTAGTCGCTTTAGGAAGGACCTCTGGACCATACCAATTAAATCATTCTCTCATATCCATGTATTGCGTGTAATCTAAAGTTTGGATTTTTCTTTGCGGATGCAAACTATTCAAGAATTTTTTTTTGATTCTTAATATACGCTGTGTGTATATTTTAACTACCGGTAAAGATGAATTGTATTGATGTATCTTGTACGACATTGTTGATTTTACATGTAACATCTAAACATCTTGGACAGATACTTTATTGAGGTCAAAGGATCGGCGTATAATAGAAATCACATTGTTGTGTATATTTAAACTGCTATTCATATCAATGGCTTAGGTTGTTTTTAGTCAAGATCATACAATCTGGAATAAGAGTTGACAAATTAACATATGATGTTCATATTGCTTTTACAGATCTATTTACTTTGAGGAAGAAGTCAGAAAATCTAACGTGAGATCAATATTAAAACTAATTTGATGGTTAGACACACTTTTGAAGTAATGTGACAAGACGCAGTAAACCATATAGATTATTTGTACGACAGAGGTGGTTTAAAACGTTTTTTTTTTTCTTTTTTCTTTTTCCTTTTTTTCTTATCTATTTTGTTTATTGTTTTCTTTATTCTCTTTTGTATCAAAATGTCAGAGTCAAGTCATATCCAACCCAACTTTTTCGGTTCAGGATATGGTGAACAGCCTAAAAAAAAAAGCGGGGATTGGGTCGATTTTAATAATCCAACAGCTCCACCGCCATATTCACCAGTGCCCCATGAACCAACAGGAAGCTCAAGACCAACGACCCATCCAAGCGCACCACCGTTAGATTTTCCCAATTATGGTTACTATGGATCTGTCCCATACCCCACACCTAATACAACATCGGATGTCAATCAACCTACTTGGCCTTGGGCAGCACCGCCAAGTATGCCAGGTAACTTTTTTCTTGGCACGGTTTTTTCTTTTGTTTGTTTGTAGTTAAACTAATGTAGTCTTTATAGTACCCCCATCCAATTATATATCACCATCATCACTACCACCACCACTACAACTATCATCGTCGCCGCCTCCGGAAGTTAAAAAAAACAAAAATTGGTGTGAAATATCAGTCAAATACCTTTTTTATGTCTTTTGTCTCTTTTTAGTGATTCGTATGGTGGAATTATTAACACGCGGCACTGGTTATGGGGGGTCTTGTGCACATGGAGTCGAATGGTCTGATTTACCTCCCGAATTTAACTATAATAAAGGAATCAAAATTCGCACTGTAGGTGGACACTTATCCAGCGGACAGATCAAAATTCAAACTATTGGAGCTGAAGATCTTGAAAAGACAGGCAAGGTGCGTATGTCGGCATTAATTTTTCCGCCTCGATTAGCAAAGCACTCTGATTTGAGTTTCGCCATCACCCATTTTACAAATGGCACGAGTTTAGAACTTTATATTCCGCAAGATTTGGATCGTAATGCTTGTATTACCTTTAACGCTGTGATTTATGTCCCTGAGGGTACGCCATATATTGAATTGGACATGCAAAATACACGCGTGAGTGTCTCGGATGAGACATTGTCGGTGCCAGTCGTTGGTATTACCACCACTAATGCTCCTATTGAATTCCATGGCGCTTGGGAAGGAGAGGCATTGTTGTTGAGTACAAAGAATGCCATTATCGAGCTGACAAAATATATGTCAAGTAGCCAAGTAATCATGATAACAACAACCAATGCAGCCATTAGAGTGCGACAAACCCTGCAAGCATATGATACGATGTATATATCTACTACCAATGGTGCTATTGATGTAGATGACCTTATTTATTGTGATCGCTTAATTGAGTTGAGATCTTCTAATAGTCATATCAATGCCTATAATGTAACAGCCAGTATTGTCCGAGTGCTCACTTCTAACGGCCGTATTAATGTTGACCATGGTAATGCTGTTGAATTGTTCAATACCCAAACCACAAATGGTCAAGTTAATGTTCATGTTGACACTGGCGCTCACGCGGAAATGTCTATTCGTACTTCCAACGCAGAAATTACTGCTAGTTTAGTAAGTAATTTTAATTTAAGAAAACTTTACATGTACTCAACGGTTTATTTAAATAGCCTAGTGATTATGAAGGTCACTTTCTTTTTGATGCAGGAAGTCATAATAAGTTAACATTTATTGACGAATCTGGATGGTCCCAAATTGACAGTATGAATAGAGGTCATATATCAGGTAGACGCATAGAGCCTGGACACACAGAGGTGCCCAATACCCGAGTACAAGTCCAGACAACTAATGCCAATGCGCATATTCACTTTTAATAAAATGTCTATTTTTTAATTTTATTCTGTAAGCCTTATTTATTTCTCATCTGACCTGTTTTGATCCTCATTTATTTATTGAGTGGACCACAATAGGTAATGATATCAATAAATTCTGAGTCGCTTCATATTTGCGCATCCTGATAGAACAAGTTGTCGGGTAGATAATAATATTTAAATAAATTCAGCTTAGTGCCAAGGCATGAAAAGCGCCCAACTACCAAGATATTTTGAAAAAGGGTTTGTAGTGACATTCATGGTAAGAAAAAAAAAACCTTGGGTATGACTACTCACGTGCTTTTGATGATGTATTTGTGGATCTCTTATAAAGTCCCATCCATATTTATAAAGCACTTCCTGCTTGAGTATTCATTATTACCTTTGATAAGGAATTCGTCATTAAGGGTAGTAGGGTTTAATGTATATTGTACTGATCCTTGTCCTATTACAAGTTTTTGTAGATAATTGTCCACTAATAACTACGAGAAGAGCTACTTCTAATTTTCACTTTATCGGTACATAAATGTGCTAATCTCAATCTGGCTGTACCTTCTACAAAGGGAAATGAAAGCCAGCCAGAAAGGTATAACAACTTGCTGTGTGAGGAACGTGTGATCAGCCCGGCAATTCTGATTGGTTGTTGATCGTATCTCGATGATGATGATTGTATGGAATTTATAATGCATGACATCTGTAATCACCTTGTTCACGCTGTATTTTAATCGCGGGTTTACAATATCCCACTCTTATGTAAGCTTTAGAAGTAAAATAAGTGAGGCTTTTTGCAGCTAGATCTATAATTGCAATGCTTGATTTGGTATTTTTTTTTTTTTTTTTTTTTTTTGTTAGAGCGGGGGAGATTAGAAACGCACTGAAACAATGATGAAAAAAAAAAAAAAAGTTAAATCTGTGTTTTTTTCATTTTTCCTTTTCATTTCCTAATCTTTCACAATTTTTATCTATTCCCAAAAATAACGCATTAAAAAATGCCTACAGTTTTCAGTAAAATAATAAATAAGGTTGCCTGCCATACTCATAGACACACTGAAAAACATAATACTGAGAAGCATACTAGCACTGAACATCATCATGAAAATCACAATATATTCCATATTAAAGGCGCTTCGCCTGCTGCTGCTGCCATCACAACTCATGTTTTTGGATATAGAGATGGGATAAAAGATAATTATGTAGAACCTCCCTTAGGTAAATTATTACAAAATAATTGATTCGTTTTATACATTAATCGAAATATCAATGTATTTGCATATGTAGTGCCTCCCACCCAGAATACACCAACAAAAGAACCAAGTATCAGTCATATTATGCCTTCTCTTCCTCCTGAACCTAATAATTCAAACGGAGGCTCGTCAGAACAAAATACAAAATCTTCATCTCAAACTACAAACTGTAAGTTTTGACTTTCTTGGTATAGAATCCTACTAATAAAATTATTCAGCACATATTTATCCTGGCCAACTTCCTTCGACCCCGCCAACAACCCCGGGAGGTTCATTCTTAGTAGAAAATAATCAGCCAGCTCTAACACAAAACGAAGAACCCTCCACTCCTATAGACAATGACGTTACACGGCCTGATGTTCAGCTTAAATTAGACAACTTTGAAATATTGAGAACATTAGGAACAGGATCTTTTGGTAGAGTTCATCTGATACAATCCAAAATCAACAAAAGGTATTATGCTCTTAAAGTATTGAAGAAAGCTGAAATTGTCAAGTTAAAGCAAGTTGAACATACAAACAATGAGCGCGCTATCCTGCACAGCATTCAGCATCCTTTTATAGTCAATTTCTGGGGAAGTTTTCAAGATTCTCTAAACTTGTATATGGTATTGGATTACGTTCCAGGCGGTGAACTCTTTTCAGTCTTACGAAAAGCAAAGGTAACCGTTATACCCTAAACCTGGGTCACGAAGAAGACTATACTAATTATGATTTTGATACACAGAAATTTAGTAATGACGTAGCTAGATTTTATGCGGGTGAAGTATTACTAGCCATTGCCTATTTGCACAGTAAAAATATTATTTATCGTGATCTGAAGCCAGAAAATCTACTTTTGGATGCGCATGGACACATAAAAATCACTGATTTTGGTTTTGCCAAAATAGTACCAGACATCACTTGGACCTTGTGTGGTACACCGGATTATCTAGCTCCTGAAATTATACAAACGAAGGGGTACAGTAAAGCGGCTGATTATTGGGCTTATGGTGTACTTATCTATGAAATGTTGGCAGGGTATGTACCATAAAAAAAAGGCAATATAGCATGCTTTACTGAACAATTATTATACTCTTAAGTTACCCACCGTATTATGACGACAATCAATTTAAATTGTACGAGAAAATTTTAACCACAGCACCACAATATCCTTCATCAATCGATGCAACAGCGAGAGATTTACTTAAACATTTGTTGACAACCGACTTAACTCAACGGTACGGTAATTTGAAAGCGGGCTATTTTGATATTAAGAATCACAAGTGGTTTGCCCCCATCGATTTTGAAGAATTAGCTCAGCGCAAAATTAGGCCACCTCATATTCCTCACTTGAAGGGTGCTGGTGATGCCAGTAACTTTGACAAATACTCTGAGGAAATCTATCCGTATGGAATTCATCAACAAGATCCATATCGTGATCAATTCCCTGACTTCTAAGGAACTTCCATTTTATGTACATATATTTTCCAAATAGTTTGTTTCTAACACACACACACTGTATGTATTCAGATAATAAAAACATTGTAAATAGAAAAAATCAGTCAGGATATATTTGTCGTTTATATTCTTTTGTCACGATACCTGTGTCAGATAAACGTGGATAAGGATGTAATTTGACTGGGATAATGAAGTTGTAAGCACTACACACCCCGCTCATGTTAAATTGGGCTTCTTGCTAAATGACGCTTTTCAAATTTGGCTTAACGTCAAAATATGCTTGTCCGGAACTAAATCCAATCCAATTGGTCTAGTAGCAATACCAACGTGTAACCGTCGCGCGTTCAAATTATACTTATCATCCAGCCAAACAGGTCGCGTAAGGTGTGTATTTCCCTTTTTATAATCAAGTCAGATTCATTGACAATCTCAGAGACATTGGTAGGTGAAGGTTACATTAAAACTACCATTGAACTTTATAATGAACCAAATTCTCATTTTTCGGCCCATTGGTATAGACATTTGTGTAATTATTCAACTGTTTTTTATATTATGCGAGATTTAGTCATCGTCAGCACATTTATCAAACTACTCTTGATACCAGCTTAGTACGTTCGAGTCTTCATAAATTCACTTTGCGTACCGAGAAATAGATCTAAACAGCTTTTTTTTTCTTTTTTTTTTTAAAAAAAATAACAATAATAATAGTCGATCTACTGACTTTGAGGTTCACCGAAACTGGTTAGCTATCACACATAGCCTTCCCATTAACAAGTGGTATCTGGAGGTAAGCGTTTCACTAATAATAATATGGGGTTAAAATATAATTGTTTAACTCTAAATTATGGCATCCTTTTTTAGAACACATCAGAATGGACTTTGGATTACCCCCCATTTTTTGCTTGGTTTGAGAAATTATTGAGCATGTTTGCGTCTCTGGTTGATTCCGAGATGCTCAAGGTTGATAATCTTGGTTACGCTAGTAGTGAGACAATTATATTTCAAAGATTGACGGTTATTATCAGCGAATTGGTACTGTATTGGGCATTAGTGAGGTAAATATGTGATATAACACAAAACGAGAATTGCATATTAATTTAACACATGAACAAGATATGCCAAGTATTTCGGCAATAAATACGTTAATTGGGTCATAGTGGGATCTTTGTTTCTCCATCCTGGTCTTATAATTGTTGATCATATTCATTTTCAATATAATGGTTTTCTGTACGGTATTTTGGTTTTGTCAATTGTAGAAGCGAAAAGAGTAAGTAACACAACTGCTAGTAGTAGACATGTAGAGTTTGACTATCTATGTATAGGATAATTTACTTTTATCAGGCGTCCTTTTTGCTATATTGCTAAACTTCAAACATATCTACTTGTATATGGCGCCTGCTTATTTTGTGTACCTCTTAAATGCATACTGTTTTGTCAAAGTTAATGAAGAAGCAGGTATATAATGAAGAAATAACTTACTTGTACTACTTTACTGAAATTTTTTTAAAAACAGGGCATCAATTTTCTTTCAAAAGGTTAATTTTATTGGGAGGTTCTGTTTTAACCATATTTGGGATTTCCTTTGGACCCTTTATTTATTTTAATCAGCTTCCCGCAGTTTTTGGCCGTCTCTTCCCATTCACCCGTGGACTCTGCCACGCTTATTGGGCTCCAAATTTTTGGGCGCTTTATTCTGGTGCAGACAGAGTTTTAATTATTGGTATTTATGCTCCTCTCCTACCCCCTTTTTTTTTTCGTTTACTCAAATTTAAACTTTTTCTGCCAAATTAAGCTGCCAAGAAATTCGGATGGAGCTTAAATGAAGATGCGATCACTTCTATGACAAGAGGCTACGTTGGTGATACTCAATTCGCTGTTTTGCCTACCGTTGAAGCTATTCATACAATGATCATCACTGTGCTGGTACAATTGGTAAGCATATCCGGTCAGCACCTTCCCTTTTTGATATCGGATATTTATTTATATCGATTGTAGATTGTATTGCAGAAATTGTGGAGAAAGCCAACATTTAACAACTTTTTATCGGCTCTTACATTATGTGGATTTGCATCCTATTTATTCGGGTGGCATGTTCATGAAAAAGCTATCATGATTGTACTGATTCCCTATGGGTATGGTGTGATCATAAATAATTTAAGCGCTTTTATCCGAAACACGGCTTTACTCACTCCCGATAACGTTTAATAGATTAATGGCAGCCAATAGCAAGGTCAATCTACGCGTCTTGATTGTTTTGAGCGCCGCAGGCATTTGTTCATTATATCCATTGTTATTTCGCTCTGCCGGTAAGGGATAATAATTCTACTTTCAATATTAGTTAATCTCAGGGTTTGTTGAAATGATTAACTCCGTTTCTTATTAGAAACACCTATCAAAATTACTCTTACATTGCTATGGTTCTGTGCAGTGATACCCGGTTTAGCATACAGCCTTCAAATGTAAAGTTATTACTTACCCTTCATATTGAAAACAATTGATCTAAATCATCCCATGTAGGCCATTGAAAAATCTATTATCTGCCCTTGAAGTGAATTATTTATACGGCTTGATCGCACTTCAATTATACACGGGATTTATCCATGACATAATCTTTCAGGACAACCGCCTTCAGTTTTTACCCTTGATGGTGACAAGTTTATATTGCGGGATCGGAATCGTTTATGGCTGGGCCTACTTTATGTTGGATTACTTGATGACTTAATAAACAACCCTTTTTTTTGGATTATCAAATCGATTTTTTTGTTTGAGAATAAAAAGTAGATGAAAATGTGTACCTGTAACAGTGAAAAAAAAAATAAAAAAAAACCTTATCAAAGGCTAAATGAAAGATCCCCACAGTTATTCCTATATGAGGATATTCCAGCGGTGAATGGGCACCTGGGAAGAAGTGGGATAAAAATTTGATGTTCATATAAAACTATCCCCCATGCCAGTTTGGAATAGTTTTTTATTTTATTTTTATTTTTCTGTATATCTATTTTTTATTTTATTTTTCTAAAATCATGAACTCTTTGGAATCTAAATTTCCAAAGTACATGGTGTACTGTGTCTTTATCGCTTGTTTAGAAGCTTTTTGTAATGGTTGGGTCATTGGTTCTGCAAATGTTCCGGGTACCGTCACTCATATCTGTGAAAACGGTATGAATCAAGTAGCTAGCAAAGGTCTTCCCGATTGTTTACCTATGAATACCGCTTTATGGTAAAAACCAAAGATGACACTAAGTTCTTCCTGCCTCTATATACTTAGCTTTTTTTTATATGTATATTCTCATTAGGGGTTTTGCTGTTTCATCTTTCTGTGTTGGTGGTCTTCTTGCATCCCTCTTTGGAGGTGGTATCCAAGAGAGATATGGTCGTAAATTTACCATTATAATCAACAATGCAGGCTTTATTGTAGGTTCTCTTCTTTGTGCTGTCTCTGTACACCAGGCCATGTTCATCATCGGCCGTATTCTTTGTGGTCTTTCTTGTGGCCTTGGGTCATTAGTTGTACCCACTTACATAGGTGAAGTCTCTACCATTAAGGGCCGCGGCACAATGGGTTCCTGTAACCAGTTCTTAGTTGTGATTGGTATTCTATTAGCCTCTGTTATCGGTCTCCCTCTTGCCACCGTACCACTTTGGCGTATTAATTACGCTATCCCTGCTTTCCCTGCCATGTTTCAAGTCTTGATGATGCCCACCTGCGTTGAATCTCCTCGTTGGCTAGTCTCTAAAAACCGAATTCAAGATGCACGGGAGGCTCTTCAACGTCTTCGTGGCGATTCTAAAATTGAACAAGAATTTTTCGAAATCGTAGAAGGACAATTGGGTAGTGCTGCTGCCAACTTATTACTTAAAGGCATTGAAAACCAGGATGAAGGCATCAAGATTATTGATTCTAAAGATCACCCTGATATTACTACTGAAGAGAAGGGAGAAACAGGTGTTCGCTCTGCCATGTCCATGATTGAGGTCATGCGAGATCCAGTAACTCGTAGAATTGGTTTAACTGTGTTTGTTCATCATATTATTCAACAACTTTCTGGTATGAATGCTGTCATGTATTATTCTACTTCAATCTTCAAAATTGCTTTTGATGAGAACTTTGCTCAAATTATGGCAATTATTACCACTGTTGTTAACTTTATTGCAACAATTGCTGCTATCTCTGTTATTGATCGTTTCGGTCGTCGTCCGTTGTTATTGATTGCCGAGGCTGGTACCTGTATATTTTCTGTTCTATTAGTGATTGGTTACAAGACAAACACACCAGGTCTTCTTGTTGCATCTGTCTTTTTGTATGTTGCTTCTTTTGCTGTAGGTATTGGTCCAATTCCTTGGTTGATTACGTCTGAAATGACACCTACTGCTGCAGCCTCTTCTGTCGGTGCTGCTTCCACCTGTATTAACTGGTGTATGAATTTCTTAATCGGTCAAATCTTTCCCGTCATCTTTGCCGCCATTCAAGGTTGGTCTTTCCTTATCTTTGCCTTTATCTGTTTCTTTGCTTTTATTTTCACTTTCTTCTTCCTTCCCGAAACAAAGGGCCGCTCTCTTGAATCCATTGTTAAGGAATATGAAAAGTATAGATAATTTTTTTTATATCCCATTTTGTGCATACAACAATCATCATCTTTATTTTTTCATTATTTTATCTCTTACATGCTTGTCAAGCAATACATCAATAAATAGTAGCTAGTACCCTTTTTTTTTTTTTGTAATTTACAACATGTAGTTAAAATGCTAAGTTTCCTTTCAGTGAATGTAGTTATTTATTCTCTTATTGATGCTGATGATTGAAGACCTATTTGGTATGCACTAAATTAAACCTAGCCCAAATTGTTCCTTTGATGGTAAAAAAAAAAAGTATTTGAAAAATGGCATGTTGTTTCATTTTATTTAGGTTTGTTCTGGATACCCCCTTCCCCGCTGCATAATTATTCCTGAGAAGAAGGATAAAACTTCAATTGTCTTTTGTAGGGCTGGAAACAATCTACACAATTATAAGCAATGGCCTATTCACAATGTTAGAAAAAAAAGAGACAGATGTTTGTAAATCCAATGAATTCTACTCACTTCAAGATTGATATTTCTCAATTCCCCGGGGTGATCGGTCACGCCATTAAAGGTTTTAGTGCTTTCACACTGTTTACAATAGAATTCAGCTTTACATACCAATGCAGCTCCTGCAGCCGCCTCTTCATCTTCGTAAACTTCAATTTCTACTTCATTAAAGTGATCGATAATCGTAGTCAAATATCCTTTCGTGATATTTTGTATCTGGCTGAATGTAGGAAGTTGCATTTTATGATGTGGATTGCTAAAAGAAATTTTTTTTTGAGAGGCACCTATTTCTGAGCTATATATACATTTACCCTTATAAAATACAATGGAAATAGATTTAACAACGTTGTATATTATCCATTGTTATCAAAGACTCTTGTTCATGACCCCATTATTAAAATGTATTGTTTGCTGATGTCATAACAACACGCATTATTGGACAACAGTTTTTTTTTACACTTTCTGTATGGAAATAGTTGTATAAATATATCAAATGACGGATAGCGAGGTTTGTATATATTTATTTACTTATTTACCATGCAAGCATCATCAACACAACAGACTAGCAGCTATTTTTCTGTATCAAGGCAAAGTAAAACGGCGGTTAGTACAGTTATCCCAAAGAAAGTCGAGAGGAATGACTACATGATCAAGTGGGACATTGTGGTTTTCAACTTAAGACCACAAACTGCAGTTTCCAAATACGCTTGGTGCTACCTGACTGCATTAGATAACGGCTCATACTGCTCATTATTTCCGTACTTTTAACCTGACAAAGATTACATCCCTTGTTGTGTATCTGCAAAATCAACAACACAATGAACATATAAATTAAAAGGTATACATAAATTTGGGGCGCGGCTCCTTTGATAAGGCCATAAATCATGTTGCAATGCTCTAGCAGTTTAATTTATGTAGCCCGCATTGGTATCATGTCAGGTGCCGGCGGTGGTTAAATAATAATATATAATTAAAATAAAAAGGGGAACGGCCATGCAATGCTGACTCTATTTGTTTGCCATGGTGAAAGTCTACACAATCGGCATTGGGTAAACACTAATATATACAATTAAGACCGCGTGTAAAAAATATTCAATTGTTTTATATATAGAGGCCCATCTTGCTCTGGGAAAACAGTAAGATAAATAAACTCTTATCTTTATAGAATACTAACAACCCACCCAAGACTGTGACACGTATCCTGCGACAGATTCTTAAAAACACGGCTATTATTTACCAAGACGATTACTACAAAGTAAGGAAATCCCCCAAAGAAGGTTGACTCCCAAAATTAAAGCTAGTGTCTTTATTTGTAGCCTGAATCTCAAGTACCCATCGATGAAGCAACACAGCTTGCTAATTGGGACTGCCCTGAATCCGTCGATTTCACTGAGTTCGCAGAAAAGATACATTACGCACGTACACATGAAGGAACCTTACCTGAAGGTTTCAAGTCCAATGAAGAAAGCAATGTTCATGACGGTTCCAGTTTATTAAGCCCTCAGGTAGCGGACCAACTCGCTCACATCCTGGCACCTTTTGCGCAAGATCCCAGTGCAATTTTTGTCATTGTCGATGGATTTATGCTTTATTGGGATGATAGAGTATCGCAACAGTTGGATTGCAAAGTAAATATCACGGGCACTTTTGAAACACTCAAGTCAAGACGCGAGAAACGTCAGGGATACCATACGTTGGAGGGTTATTGGGTTGATCCACCGGGGTACTTTGAAAAGATTGTATGGCCTGAATATCTTCGCTTAAATGAACAAGCTGCTACTGTGGAGGATGTATTATCTCTGAGCACAGATGAAAATAGCATAGACGAAACTGCCTTAAAAGTAGCTGATAAACTTATTACCATGTTGTAGACAAAAGAAACAAAAAAAACTTTTTATTTACGGATGAGGAGAGAGAGAGGCAAAAAGAAGGTCTATTATAATATACAATTTTGGGGGTTTGGATTGATTTTTGGCAAAGAGAAAGAGAAAGAAAAATTACAGAGATTTTGTTACTACACCGTTCAGCCTGTCTAATAATTCTTGATAAGGTTCTATTTTAGTTGGATCCCTATTGGCAAGCAATAAGCGTTCTTTCGCTAAGGTTGCAACTGAATTAGATTGTATACTTTTTCTTGCTGGTGGTGTGGAGAGAGTTTGAGACATATTACTTAAGGATACAAAAGCTCCTAGTGCAGATTTGGTATCACCTAAATCAAGAAAAGCTGATACGAGGGTATACATAGTTTCAGAATTCGGCTTCACTTGAGTATCTTTCATAGATTTATATAATTGCTGTAAGGTGTTCAATTTCACAGTTTGTTCTGGATCGACTTCTTCATCATACAAGTGAAATTTAGTGGATTTCATAAAGGATCCAAATAAAGTGTTGTATATCGTGATGGTTGGTTTGATACCCAATGTCTCCATATTATAAAGCACTCGAATCGCTTCATCCCGTCTATTATCGTGAACCATTAAATCAATGTAGATCCTATAGCTTTCAGCATCTGTTATTGGCACTTGTTTTAGCGCTGGTTGTGTGGTTGAGTTGATCTTTGATTTATGTTTCTTCTTCTTCTTTTTCTGGTCCTTTGAATAAGCTTCGACCATCTGTTCAAACATGGCGTAGGTCCTGTCCTTAAATCCATTACATGCATACCCTGACATCACCACGTTCCATATCGCTGTATTTTTGGCCATGGTATTTAATCCGTTATTTCGAATGTCGTTCAGCATATGATCCATTCCACTCACATCACCCATCTTTCCCATTGAATGCAATAAAGACGAATAGGTGTAGACGTCAGGCTGAAGATGACGAGAAACCATATCATGATACAATCTCTGAGCTGTTCTAATATCTGACAGTTGCACTGCAATATCAATCAAAGTATTGAATGTCACGACGGAGGGTTGTACGGGTTCCTTTTGGATAATTTCGCCTGCTTCTGTCACCAACTCTGGTTTTTGCATGTCTTCGAATATTTTCAATGCGTCCAAGAGATGGTGGGGGTGTAAGTTGGGCACAGTTTTACCTCCCACCCAATGAATCAATGAATTGTATTCGTTTAAGCGTAACTGAAAGCCACGTTTTCGCATGTCGTCTGTCAGAGCTGTTAATCGAAGCAGGTTTTTTTGACTGGCACGAGCTCGAATGGTGTATAAAAAGATGTGGTGAAAATTTTTGCGAGTTAGGGTAGAGAGTAAGTCGTTGGTGTAGAGGTAGGTATACAAGGGCCAAATGCAATCAATGTCTTGTGTTGAAAGCGAACGATAAAAATCAGCAAGAAGCGCGGGTTTATTAGTGTGGACTTCGGTGCTTGTTTCTCGAGCGGTCTTCAATGGTGAAGGAAACAGGGTTTGGTATGATTTAGAAAAGAGAGAAGGTCTCGATAAAAGTGGGGGGAAGAGAAGTGTTTGCGTGCAATATATACATGGACTAGGCACGTTTAATCGATGCCAAAGCCTTCGCATCGTACTATTGGTAATGTAACTAGAAAAGGAGTACCTTTATTTTATTTTTTTAGGGCGTACTTTTTTGCTTGATAGTCTTACGTGAAGTTGAAGGGTAAAATAAAATAACAGGCATGCCACCCACCCACCACAACGGGACGTCACAAAAAAAATGTGACTCGGCCCCTACATGTTTTTTTTAAACAGCCGCATTCTATTCTTTTAGCTGAAAGGGCATCCATGAGGGGTTGCTGTCAAAAGTGCCTGGATAAAAGTAACCATTGTTTGGAACGGTGCTACATGATTCCATCAAAAGAAGAAAAAAAAATTAGAGCGTGACACAGAAATAGAGTATAAGGGTTTATGAAACACATGTAAATTTTTTATTATTTAATAAACAAAAAAAAAAGCTGATTTAATAACCAAGAGCGGCAATGGCAGAGTTGATTTCCTTGATGGAATCAGCCTTGGACTCAACAGCCTTCTTTTGGATGGCAGCGAGAGCAGTCTTACGTTGGTAGTAAGCAGCAGACTTGGCCTTACGCTTCTCTTCGAGCTTGGCAACAACATCTTGGTACTTCCATCCGACTTCGTGAGAGACACGACCAATGGTGGTGTACTTACGTCCGGGCTTAAGACGGAGGACACGAAGAGCAGCAGGGATAACCATGCGCTTGACGCGATCATAAGGAGCGGGGACACCTTCGAAAAGCTTAATGCGATCCAAGGCAGCGGCACCACGAGCAGTCTTGTGAGGAACCATACCACGGATGGCCTTATACAAGATACGAGAAGGAGCACGGAAATGGAAAGGACCACGGGTGGGGTTGACAAGACAACGCTTGTTGAGGTAAGCGTGGTACTTCACTATATATATTTGTTAATCCCTCTATTCTATCCTCTTCAACATACGTTAGTCTACATACACTTGTTACGGAAGAATTCACCAGAAACGTTTAAAGCTTCACATCTGACAACAACAACCTTTTGGCCGTTGAGGGCTTGCTTAGAAATGATACTGGCAAGACGACCCAACAAATGACCTATTCATTATATGTTAACCCAAGCCATTCCTTTTTTTTTTCTTTTTTTTTTTCTTTTTTTTACCTTTGCCATCGATAACAATAGTCTAAAAAAAACAAAAATACGCTACGTTAATAACACTTTCCACTTGCCGCGCATTCATCATTTACCTTTTCGAAAGTAGACATGGTTGAAATTTCTATGAGAAAAAGAGAGGGAGCAAAAATTTTCCAGTAAGCCGCCTTGTTTTTCTGGCCCTCTGGCGGTTTCCTAAGCCACCCTGCAAACAAAATTTTTTATTTTCATTGCAAGTCACATCCCATCCCGCCTCCCAAATCATTGAAGGCCCTCAACCTTTTTTTTTTTCTTTTCACTCATGGCTTTTTTTTTCACTCATGGCTTTTTTCTTTTCAACGACACACAGCATCAATCAACACGACCTCGCCAACGCTTTTTTAGATCTTGGAACTGTAGACTCACAGAAATATACTTGAATCGAAATGGAAACTTGGATTACCGATTAACAAATGGATCTGTCTTTGATTTTACTTGCCTGCCATACTAGGTGTTTTTTTTTTCTCTTTCACTCATAGAATTGCAAACGCAATATCATATCAACCTGTCTCTTTTTATTGCGACAATGTAATTTCGCATTGGGATGTCTGCTTTTCTGCCATAGTTTGTCTGTTTTAAAAATAATACGGCTGCGCATGCGTAGACATAATAACGAAAAAGGGTTGGTTTACATCTCCTTCTTACAAGACATGCACGTATCATTTTTTCTAAGAAAAAAAACCACAATTTACACGTGTGGAACGCGTTTGCCAGATAGAAATAGGCAACAGCGATGACAATCACTGACATTGATAGTTATCTATCTAATAGAAAATACCAGACATGATTTTGCATTGTGTCAACATCTTGTTAATGGGCTATATGTTTCATTTGAATGTTATCATATCCGATAAACTTTCAAATCTGTAGCGTTTTACATTGATAGTGTTTTTTACTTTGAGCTTTTTTTTTTCCAGCTCATCCTTCCTACCATTGCAATGATTACGTAGGCCCCACAACCAACGATAATCCTTGAATACGTGTATAAAGAGAACCGTTTATATTCTCTTTAAAACGTTGTGATTACTTTCACAATTCGATATATGTCAAACTTGTAACAACTTTGAGGTACACAAGTGTCTGTGTGCTGTATATACTCTCATCTGACACATAAAATCTGTGGGTATTACATATAATTGTACAGGATGGTATAATGCTTCAGTCCTCAACTCCATTAACACAATTTGGCAAATTACGCATTGAAAGATAGAGTCGTTGTCATTCGAAATTTCTAACGTTACTTCGTATCTTTGAAGTAGCGACTTTTACAACAGACATTTCTAATGATTCATGTAATGTAGATTGAGCTTTACTGAGCACTTCTTTTTTGGATAATTTAAGGTAATCATAACCTCTGTAAATCTGTGGGTAAAAGTAGTCCAATGAAATCTAGAGACTACTCGTATATTGGGATTTTTTATACATGTAATATTGGTTGGGATAAGAAATAAGTACCTGTCGAGATCAGTAACATTCATTTAATTGAATGAAAGATGGTGTCCAGTGGTGATGGATACATATTACTTGCGCTTATGGTAACTTTATATCGAGTGAAGGGTGTAGCATATGTAAACTGTAAGCTTTAAGCGATTAAAATGCCCGGAAAAAAATAAAACTACGATCGCACAAACCTTCTTTCTACTACGTAAAACCCAAAAATGGAATGGAGATCACCCGTAGGTAGCACCACCTTTAAAATGCGTAGCAATAGTCTTGAATAAAAGGAGAATATCCAATCTTATTATTTTAAAAACAAAGTAGAAAATTGCTTATTGTAATCAAATATAGCTCGACTATAATTTGAGTGGATGCAACATTGGTATAGACGAGTATTCCAATAGTCTTTTCTTTATATTTTGCTTAATAATCAAAAGGTATGCTGATCAAGTTAAGTTTGATACAATGACATTAGACCCAAAGCTCACTTTCCAAGCTTATGATCTTAATTTGTCAACGGTTATCGTGAATGTAGAATGCACAACTAGCCTAAAAGTTTTTTCTTGTTTGCTTTGTTTTTGCTTAAGAACGGCCTGCGTGTTCGTTTGTCCAAAACAAGATTAAATTCGTCATCGACACAGCTTTTGTTCAGGTTTGAGGTAACACACGACAAAGTCTATTTTTCTGTTTTTCACTTAAATAGGGAAAGATATTTTCTTTTTCTTTGATTTTGTTTTTAATTATTTAACTCTCACACACACACACACACATCATCAAAATGGCTGATACAATTGTTTGGAACACAACCGCTGAAGAGGTCATCAAGATCTACAAAACAGACCTAAGTGGTAAAGTAGTCATTGTTACTGGCTCCAACGCAGGTATTGGATTAGAAATCGCCCGTGTTCTCTCTCTCGCTGGTGCCAAAGTTATCATCCCTTCTCGTACACTTGAGAAATCCCACGAAGCTGTCGCCACTATTCATGAAACCGTTCCTCAAGCCGACCTTATACCTATGCAATTAGATTTAGGTGATCTTGCCACTGTTCGTAAATTTGCACAAGATTTCCTTGCCCTCAATCTGCCACTCAATATTCTGGTCAATAACGCAGGAATGATCATTGACCACAAAGTCTTTACCAAAGACGGCTTCGAGTCACAATTTGCCATAAATCATCTGGGTCATTTTTTACTGACCCAACTCCTGGAAGAAAAAATTAAAGCCAGTGCGCCATCTCGTATCGTCATCACCAGTTCTTGTCTCCACTCACAACTCAACCCTATCACCGGATTGGATTTCGATAATCTGAATGGAGAAAAGGAAGGTTATAGTCAGTTAGCAGCCTACGGTAAAAGTAAATTATGTAATGTCTATCATGCAAAAGAACTTCAGCGTCGATTTGATGCCCAAGGTGTGGATGTGACCGTCACCAGTCTTCATCCAGGTAGTGTCAACACCAAGATGAATAACGGAATTACCTTTCCTATGATCAAAGATATGTGGAAGCATCTTCGTAATTACAGGTTGAGCATGTCAGAGCTTACGAGAAACAAGGATACAAAGGCCGGTGCCTCTACGTCTGTATTGTGTGCAGTGGCTCCCGATGTGGTAAAAGGTGCTTTCTATAGCCATAATAAAATTAACACGGACGCAGTGCATGAATTAGCTGACGATGAGGAACCAGCTAAAAGATTGTGGGATCTTTCAGAGAAATTGCTGTCTAAATAATTATAATAAAAAAATAGTTTTGTAAAAATAGTAATTTTAAGTAATCATCTGAGATACATAATAAATATGAGGTGTCCTGAAATTTATTACATTTGATTCCATTGTTTAATGTGATAAATCAGGGAACAGGTTTATACTGCCGAGAAATGTGTAACTTGGTTAAAAACGTTGGCTCCTTTTTCTTCTAGTGATATATACTCAAAATACTCGTACATAACGATATTTTGTTGTCGAGTGAAGTGTTTGAGCCTATATGAATTGGCAACACTTGTACCTTTTAGTCTTTGGGTCTGCAGGAGTTACGGGAATTAGAATTCGGTTATGTGTAACTCAGTAAATGGCTGCGGATCACATGTCGTTCGTCCAAGTATAAGGGTAACGATTGGAATTCCAGCTTGAATTAACTATTGAGAGCAAAAAAAAAAAGAAAAAGAGACAGCGATCTTCCTATCGATCAATGAATTAAATAATGTCAAAACTTTTTACAAATATCCATCTTATGTATACATAGACCATCGCGGCAATCTCAATATCCTTATTGTACCGCTTTTTGCCCATATTTTCATTTTTATACACTCATATAAATGAATTTTTCTTTCTATAAGTAAGTCTCAAAATAATTGGAACTTTTTTCATCGTGCTAAGCACGAGCCTCATTTGTTTTAAACGGAGCAGAAAAAAAGGGGGGGCTATCGGTAACACTGTTGAAGTCCACGGTTGTGGTAAAGACATGATCAGCAAACAGAAGACATAGCTTCATTCGTTGTCCTAAAAAAGAAGAAGAAAAAAGTGGAAGTTTCATTCTTTTAATTAAATACTGATTATGATGATTTATCATCAACCGGTAAACTGATCGTATTTAGTAAAAATACGTGTACTTTTCTAGACATGTCATCGACTTTTGTTGTAAAACCAGTCAAGTCATCTGACTCATCGGTGTTATAACCCTTAACCGCAGTATATTATCCAACACTAGAGCTTGACCGCGGTACAACTGCAGTACTGCGGCAACATAGTAAAAACATATAAATATCAATCAATTATCATTCAATAAACTTTATCTTTATTTTCAATCAAAAAGTCTGTTAAACAGTTTTAGCAAACGGAATTCTCTATACATAATTCCCTCTAATAGCTTTCTCGCCAGTCACTTGGTCTATGTTTAACAACCGACTTCAAGCTTATTTTACTTTGCTATTTGTGTCCACATTTAAAGTTACACACATCGAAGTTTTCTTTTATTTGTTTTATTTAAATAAGATTATATAAATTTTTCTTTTCTTTTTCTACCAATTAATTCACATCATCGATAAAATGGCTGATACAATTGTTTGGAACACAACCGCTGAAGAGATCATCAAGATTTACAAAACAGACCTTAGTGGTAAAGTAGTCATTGTTACTGGCTCCAACGCAGGTATTGGATTAGAAATCGCCCGTGTTCTATCTCTTGCTGGCGCCAAAGTCATTATCCCTTCTCGTACACTTGAAAAGTCTCACCAAGCTATTGCCACTATTCATGAAACTGTCCCCCAAGCCGATCTCATTCCTATGCAATTAGACTTGAGTGACTTTGCCACCGTTCGTAAATTCGCACAAGATTTCCTCGCCCTCAATCTGCCACTGGATATTCTGGTCAATAATGCAGGCATTGTCATTGAACAGAAAGTTCTTACCAAAGATGGCTTCGAATCCCAATTTGCTGTGAACCATCTGGGTCATTTCTTACTAACCCAACTCCTAGAAGAAAAAATTAAAGCTAGTGCACCTTCCCGTATCGTCATCACCAGTTCTGCTTTCAATGCACAGTTCAACCCTATCACCGGATTGGATTTTGACAATCTGAATGGAGAAAAGGAAGGCTATAGTATGCTGTGTGCGTATGGTCGAAGTAAATTGTGTAATATTTACCATGCTAAAGAACTTCAACGAAGATTTAACGCCCAAGGTGTGGATGTGACCGTCACCAGTCTTCATCCGGGCAATGTCAAAACGAAAATGAATGGCGGTGCTACTTTTTCCATCTTGAAAGATTTGTTGAAACATATTCGTCGTGTTAGTTTAACCATTTCGGACTTCATGAGTCCCAAGGATACAAAATTAGGTGCTTCTACCTCGGTGTTATGTGCTGTGTCACCCAATACAGTGAAAGGTGCCTTTTATAATAACAATAAGATAAACACAGATCTTTTACATGAAGAAGCAGAAAACGAGGAAGCCGCTAAAAGATTATGGGATCTTTCAGAAAAATTACTGTCTAAATAATTATAATAAAAAAAAAATAGTTTTGTAAAAATAGTAGTTTTAAGTAATCATCTGAGATACATAATAAATGTGAGGTGTCCTGAAATTTATTACATTTGATTCCATTGTTTAATGTGATAAATCAGGTAACAGGTTGATACCGCCGAGAAATGTGTTAACTTAGTTAAAAACGATGGCTCCTTTTTCTTCGAGTGATATATACTTAAAATACTCGTACGTAATGATGAAGTCTTTTGTTGTCGAGTAAAGTGTTTTAGCGTATATGAATTGGCAACACTTGTACCTTCTCGTTTTTTTTTTAGGGTCTGCAAATGTTACGGAAATTTGGTTTCGTGTAACTCGGTAAAAGGCTGCGGATCACATGTCGCTCATCCAAGTATGAATGGAACGAATGGAGCTTCAGCTTATGAACAAAATTGATTCGAAGCTTTATACAACTGTCCATCTTGTATATACATAGGCCAACACAGTAATCTCAATATCATTGATGTACCTCTCTCTGTCCATAATTTCATTATCAAAATACAGACATACAAATGCGTCCTCTCCTATCTACGGGCATGTATCAAAATACTTGGAACTTTTTTTTTCATCATGCTTTGCATCAGCCTCATTTGTTTTGAACGGAGCAGAAAAAAAAAAAAACGACTATCGGTTACACTGTTAAAATGCGCAATTGTGGTAGTAAGACATGATCAACAAAAACAGAGGAGGCACAGCTGGATTCATTGTCTTGATGAAGCTATAATAAAAGAGAAGCACACATCTTTTCCAAATGCTCTATGCATCGTAATAAAAAAGTAAATAGCATCGTGTTCTTTTTTTATAAGAGAACTTCAATGCGAAAAGAAAAAAAGTAGACATGTCTCATCCTTATAAACAAAAGCCTGGTTCTCAAAAACGCTTTTATTGATTTATCATCAACCGGAAAACTGATTGAATTTAGTAAGGATGCGTGTAATTATCTAGACATGTCATTGACTTTGCCATTTGTGTTCACATATAATGTTACACACATCGAAATCTTCATTTATATATATATAGATAAGGTTGTAAGATTTTTTTTTCTTTAAACCGAGTATTCTACATTCTCACACAAAACATCAATAAAAATGGCTGATACAATTGTTTGGAACACACCTGCCGAAGAGATTATCAAGATCTACAAGACAGACCTTAGTGGTAAAGTAGTCATTGTTACTGGCTCCAACGCAGGTATCGGATTAGAGGTCGCCCGTGTTCTATCTCTTGCTGGCGCCAAAGTGATCATCCCTTCTCGTACACTTGAAAAATCTCACGAAGCTATTGCCACTATTCACGAAACTGTCCCCCAAGCCGATCTCATTCCTATGCAATTAGACTTGAGTGATTTTGCCACTGTTCGTAAATTCGCACAAGATTTCCTCGCCCTCAATCTGCCACTGGATATTCTGGTCAATAATGCAGGTATGGTCATTGACCACAAAGTCTTTACCAAAGATGGCTTCGAGTCACAATTTGCCGTAAACTATCTGGGTCATTTCTTACTGGTCCAACTCTTGGAAGAAAAAATCAAAGCCAGTGCGCCTTCTCGTATCGTCATCACCAGTTCCTGCTTAAATGCACAACTCAACCCTATCACCGGATTGGATTTTGACAATCTGAATGGAGAAAAGGAAGGCTATAGTATGCTGTGTGCTTATGGTCGTAGTAAATTATGTAACATTTACCATGCTAAAGAGCTCCAACGTCGATTCGATGCGCAAGGTGTGGATGTGACCGTTACCAGTCTTCATCCGGGTAATGTCAATACCAAAATGAATGGTGGTATTTCTTTCTCGATCTTTAGAGATATGTTGAAACATCTTCGCCGTATTAGTATGACCTTGTCTGAATTGATGAAACCCAAGGATACAAAATTAGGCGCTTCTACCTCGGTGTTGTGTGCTGTGTCACCCCATGTAGTAAAAGGTGCCTTTTATAATCACAATAAGATAGATACAGAATTTTTACATGAAGAAGCAGAGAACGAGGAGGCAGCTAAAAGACTATGGGAGATTTCGGAAAACTTATTAAAATAAAATGAAATAATCCCAATTGTTTAAAAAATGTTACGATTTTATGAACACTTTGTGTCTGTGAGTTTTTTTTTTCTTTTTCAGGTGAGCGGGGCACTGTTACCGATTTTCTTTTTAACGGTCCCACTAAAAAGTGGTGCACGAATTAAAACTTGGTAATCATAAAAAAAACAATAGAGGTCAAAGCGACAGCCCGTGGCACTGTATCACTTTAATCAATATGGCTGGTATAAATGGGTTTTTTCTTTTTATAAAGGATGGGAGCCGTGTGGGATATTTCATGAATTCCTTCTGCCCCACCCCCCCTTTTTCTTCCAGACTTATACAGTTTTAGGTAGCACCCTTTTTTTCCCTCTCGGGTTGCTTTCTGTTTTAAAACTAACCTCAATTTGTTAATTTAATCGTGATTTGATCTAATTTGTGGTCTCTAACAATGACTGTGTGTTTAGCCCTGGCAGCTTTAAATCAATGGCTAAATTATGGTTAGAATAATAAAAATGATACGCATAAAAGAACGGGTAAAGCTATAGTGAGCTTTAATAGAAGCGTAATCTATTATTCAGCTTATATTAAAAGCCGACGCTGATCCCCTTTTCAACATGTTTGAGGTAAATATGCAACTTTTGACTTGCAAAGGATTTTTGTTTTACCGAGAAAACCAAAACATCCTCAAGTCTATTACTAATCGAACAATATATACATTCATGGCCAACTTACTCAGCAAGTCATTCGTCCTTATTCATTGACTGTAATTATGTTATTACTGTTTGGGAAAAGGGCTCTAAAGAAGTCACTCGTTCTTTTAGTATGATTGTAAGCCAATAAAGGCCTTGCATAAAAAAAAATTGATCCGCTGTCCTGATATATAACGTGTTCGCATGTTCAAACCCATTTAAAACCTCCTAAATTTTCATTACCCTCTAAACTTAGAAACTGGTATAAAAATCACAAGTAAATGCCGTCGTTTGAAATGCCTGGGTGATTCACATTATTGACCGGGAAAGTCGTTGGTCCTCTCTTTTTTTTTTTAAAAAAAAAACAGGTTTTCTGATTAATAGGACTAAGAAAGCATGATGTTTTAATATGAATATGTGAGAGGTGACTCTTGGTACGTTAATATTTGGGATATAAGATGTATTTTTTTTTTAATAAGGGATATTCTATCCAAAAAGGAAAAGTAAGTACTAACACACACACACACACACACAATACTAAAGGAAAACTTACGTTAAGTTGACAGTGCGCTTTGATTTGCTCAAACACTTTGAGCAGTTTGCGTCTAGCGCCCAAGGCAGCGACACCTTTTGAGAGTAATGCAGCATCATCCATTTTCAACATGTCTTGCCACTTGTAGTTTTCGAAAATCGGATTGTATTTATGTAATCGCAAACTCCTAAGCCAAGCAGGCACATCTATTTGGTAGGTAAGTATATATATATATATATATAAATGGTGGAGAATTCTTATATATATAGATAGAACCTTACCTTGCAAGAGCTGCATGTCAACGACGTCCCTTTTCTCTTTTGTCTTTATCATAAACCGGTTTTTAGATCCATTACTTTGATCGCTATGATCACTAAAATAACCATTTTCATCGCCTCCAGGACTCAGAAATTGACCATACCTTTGTGGTTGTACGGGGAATAAAGTCGAGGTGGTATCATTATAGACAGACAGGACAACGGGTGGAGATGGGATCTCTTCATTCAAGACCACAGACGATCGATTGCTTTTCCATGGTTCATGGTGGTCTAATGTAGGTGTCCATAACGATGCATTCCAATGCGACATATCGGCTGATTTGGGTCTGGATGGATTCTCCACGACAGTCTGAGGTGGCACTAATCCAAACGACCAATCGTTTTTAAAGAGAGAGGCTACATCCCCTTCAATGACAGATTTTGGTCTCTTTTGTTCAAACATGCTGTATCGTGAGGTTGCCGTGGGGGGTCGTGGGGGTGGAGGAGGTAAAAAATCGTCGTCTAATGTAAATGAGTGTCGTCCAATTCGGTTGGGTCGTCCTGTTTGAAAAGGGATGACAGATGCTAATTTTTGACTGGCTTCTAGCTCTGCTTTCACCATCATGGCACTAGTCAACTGTGTCTGCATGTCTACATTTTTTTTTTTTTTTTTTTTTTTAGGCTCTGTTGTGATGCTTTTATGCAGTTTCTTTTAAATTACCTTTCTCGGGATGAGCAGGAGAGAGTAAGGCAGAGACGGGATCTTTTTGACTGAGCTGTTGAAGGATGACCATGAAAAACCTGATCTGAACCTGTGTAGAGTGTTGAAGAAGTGTATAGATGGTGGCGGTACGTTCTGCTTCATTCAGGTACCGAAACCATTGATCGACGTGTTGAACTTCCTCCTTGTATTTAGGGTCTAGACTTGCGGTTGCCATAGATTCCAAACTACTCTCATACTGTTGCAGGTCCTCAAACCATTGATCCAATACCTGGCCTATTTAAAAAAAACATGTTTTATATCAGTAACAGATAGATTCCATGCAAAGTTTCTCTCTTTTTCTCTCTATTTTTTTTTTACTCTCAGGAGACTTGAAACTGTCTTGTTTCAACATTTCGGAAACGGGTCGTTGATGTCTGTCTGAAGCCACACTACGTAAAGGAGGTCCATCTCGATTTAACATGGAAAACATGTCATTCATGGAGAAAGATGAAGTGGACATGGTGAATAAAGAAAAAAAAAAGAAGAGGAGTAGAAAATATAAGGGGAAGGTTTTTCATTCTAAGCGTTTTATGATTTTTTTTTTTTTGACTCGGGATAAGTTTGCTCCCTTTAGGCGTCTCCCCCCTCACTACAGACAGTGGCAACACGTATCCATGCACAAAAGGGATAAAAATTCGCGCCTCGTGTTTCCATGGGAACGGAGGTGGGAGAGTGGGGGTGGGAGGACAGTTGACAGGTAATGTTTCAAAGAAAGGGAGAATAATAAAAAAGTGAGAGAGAGAGAAAGGTACCGGGTACCGTTTCACAGATTTTTTTTTTTTAAAAAAATTAAATTCATTTATAAATGTCTCCATTTTACTAATTCTTTTCTTATTTCTCTCTCTCTCTCTCTTTTTTTTTTTTTTTTTATATAATTTTTTTTTCTTGTTCTTTACATGACGATCTCTCCTATGTCAATGCCATTTCCTGTAGATGAAGTGAGGGTACGACAAAGCGTGTTTCCGACGGATATCGAAGACCCAATGACATTTCGACCGAGAGCATGTGGTATTGCAGTGGATTTAATCCTGCAACAAGCCAACTTGACGGGTTGGCTGACTAAACATCGGCCACCAACGTTTTCCTTTTTAAAGAATATTAAACGTCGTTATGTAGTGCTGGTAGATCGTATGTTGTACACCTTTAAATCAACGCAACCGGACACGTATCGCGAGTTCTTTGAACTGACAGCGAATACGAATGCATATGTGACAGATCAGGTGACGGGAGCACTCTTTTGTATTGAAGTCAAAAAGAAGGGTCATGAAGATAGTTGGTTTTTACAGGCGGATAACGCAGAGGACATGAAGATGTGGTTAGATCGTATTAAACGAACGATTAGTTGTTTAAGGACGCCAGGTCTGACGGGTACAATAACAAGTCAAAAGTTAGCAGAGATTATGACTGAATGTGAAGAATATTCTACTATTGCAGGCAATCATCGTAGTTCTTCCACTTCTTCTATAAGTGATCTCTCTGTGGCATTTCCTATGCCTCCTTGTTCACCTATTTCATCGATTCATGACTCTATTAATCGAAAGTCATCACAACGTTCGTATTCTATCTCTTCAAATTTACCACCACAATTACCACCACCTACGTCTCTACCACCACCTATTCCATCATACGCATATATATAACCCCCCTCTCCACTTCCCATTTTTCTCTTACATTATTTTATTTCTGTACATATAATATTTTTAATAAAAAGAGGCTTGCCTAAAAAGGAAATAGCTTAAAAAAGCTAAAAAAGTGTGGTCTGTGGAATGGGTATTCAATTTGCCTCTGTTTCCCTTTTTAAGGACCCGGGATGAGGGTGTTTAAAACGTCATTTTACGTGCCCCTCTTTTTTGTTTATTACCGGTCAGAGAAAAGAGAGAGGAACCCCTGCCCTGTTTGAGAAACTGGGAAATCTATTTATGGAAAAAGATCTTCCCAGCTTACAACGTGCTTTCGCTACTAAAATAGAAATTTCTTGTGTTTCTTCCTCCTATCCCCCTTTTGTATGACTCTCTTTTTCTACAACGCCCGTGTGAGAAACAAGTGCAAGAAATAATAGGGGGGGTGATTGCTTATTAAAAAGCTGAGATGAACCTTTTTATAAAAAAAAAAAAAAAAAAAAAAGTCAGCAGACCTACGAAAAAAAAAAAAAAAAAAAAAATTGTTTATATTTACTCTTTTATATTTTTATATATTACTCGTATGTTTAGAAAAAAAAAAAAACAAACGCGTTCTTAAAATACAACAAAGAAAGTTAATATATAAGGAGAAGTCATATTTTTATAACAAAAAGGCGGAAACAGAAAAAAAAACTTGAAAGGTACACGAAAAAAAAATTAAAAACTCCTATCGTTACTGTCTCGCTAAAAACAGTAAAGGTCTCTTTTTTTTTTTTTAGTTTTTCTCGCCCTTTTTTTTTCGTTTTTTTTTTTGTTGTTGTCTTTATCCTTTCCTTTTACTATCTTTTTTTTTTTAAAAAAAAAAAACTTTTTTTCACTCTCCACCCACTTCACATTCATTCCACAAAGACTAAAAAATGAGTTCCTTATTAAATAAACCTACATGGTCTCAACAAATTAACCATCATTCAGAAGAAGAAGAAGAAGATACGTCTAGTGCACCTGTGCGTAAAAGAACAAGAGCTACGGCAGATCAATTGTCTGTGCTGGAAGATACTTTTGCAGTGAATGTCAGTCCCAATTCCAAGCTCAGAAAACAATTGGCTGAACAACTTGCCATGTCAGAACGCTCCATTCAAATTTGGTTTCAAAACAGAAGAGCTAAAGTAAAGCATATGCAAAAGAGAGCTCAAATGCAAATGCATCAAGCTTCTATTCGTGCCCAATTATATCAGTATCACCAACAACAACAACAACAACAGCAACAGCATCACCATCACCACCATCAACAACAACAACAACAACAACAGCAACAACAACAACAACAACAACAACAGGCTCCCATTTTGCCTATGCAACCTTATTATTATCAGAATAACAGAGCACAAAGTGTGGATGCTCTTCATTTCCAAACAAGTGGTAGTCATCGACCCATGATTCAACAACTATTTACACCCGCTTCCTCCGTACCTCCTCCTCCTACGTTGCCCATGAATCTAAATGCTGCTGCTGTTACTGCTGCTCCTACTGCTGCTGCTGCTGGGTATGCTTACAACTGGCTTGGTGAAGATATGCCGTTCACCCGACAAAGCATGCCTCCTCCTCAAGGAGCTTATGCGTATGATTTTAATCATCCACTAGAGAACGGCCTAGATTTCCCAGAGTATTTACATGGTCAAGTCTCACCCTCACCAAGTCCGCTTCACAAACAACAACAAAACATACCCACCTTGATTTCTGTACCTGATGCTGGTCCTACTGCTATTCTTGCCACTAAAGACATCAGTCCGTCACCCTCTTCGCCTGGTAAGGAAAATAAAATAAAATAAGATAATGAATTGGTTATTAATTTTTTTTTTTTTTTTACACACGGCGCAGATTCTGTGCAACGTCAACAGCAACAACAGCACATACAGCAACAAGAGCAGACAATTGATCCTTCTAATTTAATCTTGAAGGATGATCTTGTTGTGAAATCAGAAAAGAGTACAACAGAAGAAGAACCCAAGGATCTCTACTTGAGTGCAACTACCCTCACTATTGGTACCTGGCATCGATTAAAGATGCATGAAACAGACCTCGTGTGTGTGTACCGTCCCGACACGCGTACATTTGCATGGCATATTGTGGACGGTGGCTGTCACTTCAAGATGGAGGTTGCTCAAGATGCTGTTTCTAGTATTGAATATGTGTTGGAAGCTGACTTGGCTCAGGTTCATTTTGATATTAGTGAACCACCACTCTTTTACATGGAATCCACTACTACCATGAAGAAAAAAGATGAGTCCACTACTACAACTACACCTGTCTGGGTTCAATGCTCTGATTTTACAGAAGGGAAACAAGCTTCTCGCTTCTTTCGTCATACCTTGAAGGGTATCTCACATCACATGAAGCAGGAATTATTAGCTTTAATTCATAACCATGAAGAAACAAGGCGTCTTGTTCACTTTGTATCTCCTCATCAGTTTCAACAACCCTTCATGAACACAAATATCTATTGGAATCCTCAACCAGAATCTATCCCTTGTGAATTATACATGAGCTAACACATACCCAAAAAGCCCAAAAAGCCTAAAACCCTTTTTTTGTACTATACTTCTTTTCTCTCTCCCCACAAATAAAAACTCTCCCCCCACCGCCGCCCTTTTTTGTCTGAGCCTCAAATCATTTTTTTTTTTTTCTTTTTCTTTTTCTCTTACGGTTTTAAAAATGAGCATGGAGTACATGGACATTGACGGTCCCGAATTCTTATCTAGTGTTAATCAAGAGATTGCATCTATACGTGCCAACAGAACAAACGATACAGCATATCAACATCATCTTTCCGAGTCTACACAAACAGAACCTTACGCAGGTATTCTCTCTTTTTTAAATGTCAAATCACTCCTTCATACAACCTAACCACACTGGCAAAAAGTATACAATGAAATTTGTGTTTTGGACACCAATTTCCTCATTTCTAAACTAGGCTATTTAGACACTGTCTTATCCATCGCAGAACAGCATCCAGGTAGCTTACTTGTCATTCTGCCCTGGGTCGTCATTCGAGAACTTGACGGTCTCAAAGTAAGTTTTCCGCTTACCTTTTCGTAACTTTATATTCCATACTGACCTTGACCAACAACAAAAAAAAAATAGTCATCAAGGCATGGCGGTGTAGAGGAGGACGAAATATGTGGTCGAGCAAGAAGAGCCATGCGTTTCATTGAACACAAACTACGAGATAAGTGTCCCTCACTACGAGGCCAAAAAATGAAGGAAATATTGGACCCACACATGGCCAAAACAAATCAAAAAGGCGATGATCGAATATTGGACTGTTGCATGTATTTTCATCACCACACAAAAGCAAAAGTCACTTTACTCTCCAATGATCGAAATCTCTGTATTAAAGTCATGGTGCATGACATTGATTCTATTTCCGCTGAATCTGTGCCTAAAATGGAAGCCTTACTCAACAGAATCGTTAGTACAAAAGTGACGGAAGACTATGTCATGGAGATTGATGAATTTTACCCTCCAATACAACAGCCAGAGGAAGACTATGACATGATGTTGGATGATGATCATCACGATATACTTTTCTTGGAAGGAGGAGGAGGATCAGAACAAAGTCGATGGGCTAAAGAACCTACAGCTAGGAAATCGTCTTTTAAAAAACTACCAGATCCGCCTGCTTATCTAGACAACGATCCAACCCTTGTTGCACCTAAAAAACCACCTCAGAACACCACTTATTCTAATAGTAATTTCCTACCCATTCATAAAGATGCTTCATGGACATCTATTTATTCTCCCAAATAAAATTAATAATAAAACATGTTTTAATACAAAAAAAAAAAAAAAAAAAAAAGTTAGGCGAGAGAGAGAGAGAGAGAGAGCGAGAAAAAGGGGTATGCGGGTGTCTTATATAATTAGACTTCCATGGTAGGTTGTAATGTGAAAATACGGTTATTCAATTGATGCACATCATACAACTCGTAATAATTCACTGAGCTCTTGCCATGTGTACTCTCCGTCCAAAAATCCAAACAATTATTCCAACATCCATGATCAAATACGTTTCCCTTCGTCGTCCTTTGTCGGTTACGAGCTTTATGCACTGCTCGTGCTCCTGCTACCAACTGAAGACAAGGACAGAATCCAGTTGAATGGCCGTGCCCGTGATGATTCCCTTCCATCATAGCTGAAGGCCCATCCGTTCCCTCTGTACCTCCACCCACCACCATGGGATGACTGACAGCATTCATATAAGCATATCGGTTGGCATTCGCACTCTCGTTCGTCGTCATGCCAATCGCCACCTGATACAACTGAACTGCTAACAAAAACATGGACCATGTCAGTTGGAATACCACCCATACCGTCAGTGCTAATGTCCACGTGTCATAATCAAAGTATCCGCAGATTGTGGCTCCTAATAAGCACGTACTATCCGGTCCATGGTCATAAATAGGTGCTTCCATTGATAAATCTAACATGTGCTTGCTTAATTTTTTTTTTTTTTTTTTTAAGAAAAAAACACTCCCTTCTCTATTATCTTTAAAACACTTACAACTGACGGATAAAACAATAAATGCACAAATAGCAATCACCATATTCACAAGAAACATTAAAAACGGACGATGATTATTCACACCAATACAATTAAAAATCCAAGGACAGTGGCTGTTTAAATGGGAAGAGCAAACTTTCTTTTAGCTTTTTCAATCATGGTGGTAGAAAGATATGAAGGAACTTACTGGTCGAATTTAGCTACGCATCGGTTACATACTTTACAATGCTTGGATCTGAGAGGTTTTTTAATCTTAAAAAAAAAAAAAAATAGTCAGCAGATGAAACTCCTCCCCCGGTGCACGATGTATTAAAAATGTTACCAGACAGGTTAAACAAAAATGACGGACATCCAACATATTAGCATCCGCTAATTCCTCGACACACATGTGTTGCTTATCTCGCGAAAGATCCTTCTTGATAAATCCAGGGTCGGCTGCAACCGCTTTAAAGAATGAAAACATGGCCGTGAAATAGGTCGCAATGAATATAAAATGCGTAAACAATAACTGTGAGGTAGCTATCCTTGACACTTTTAGTATTACTACTTTTTTTTGCAATCCATAAAATACTCACATCGCAACAGAACAAACATCCAGGTAGCAAGCACCCAAAAGGCAGATGATTGAAAGATACTCGAGAAATACGGTGTCTTCCAAACTGCGTCATGACTCGGTACCTGAATCAAATACTTGATAATGGCAATATGCGTCAATGCAAAAGCGCCTATTGCCAAGGGTAAGCCCATATACCACGGAAACATGGCTAAACACTTGAGTGCAAACCCTAATGTCAAAAAGGGCGCCACATACGTGACGGTATTAATCGTACGTTTCGCCAACGGTTTACCCATCGACCCTGGGTATTTCCCTATACGTGCTTCCTGTAACGCATTTCCCTCTGCCAACACATCAAATTCCAATACGGCACGATCCCATGTCCTCTCAAACTTCTTTTCTCGTACAAAATCCATCACGGATTTACCACTGCTGTCCACCGCGTTCACATCGGCATCATATTCTAGCATCTTGCGGATACACATCTTGTTTCCCCGAACCACTGCCCAATGCAATGGCGTCAATTGTGAATGATCCGTAGCACGTACACTCGCTCCAAACTTTAATAACAGATCCACAGATTGGGAATGTCCTTGGTACGCTGCCCACATTAAGGGCGTATGTCCTCCTACATGGTCACACACATCAATCTCGATATCCAAATACAATAGGTATAATACAAGCATCGCATGAGACGAATGCACAGCTAAATGAAGTGCATTAAACCCTTGTCCATCCTTGACGGAAGGATCCGCTCCCTCTTTAATGAGCCGATGCACTGCAGGTAATCGACCTTGTCTATATACACACACACAAAAAAAAAGACTTCAAGTTAGTAACACCCCTTTTAGTAACAGTACAAAGAGACTGACCGGCTAGCCCAATGAAGAGGTGTAGCTTTTAAATCGCCAGCAGGTGCATCCACCACAGCCCCTTTATCAATGAGAAACTTGACACAGACATCGTTATTGGCCAATGTAGCATAATGTAAAGCTGTTGCACCTTGGGCATCCACATCATTCACGTCTGCTAGTTTATTTTCTAACAAGTATCGAATGGTTTGAAAAGAACCCTTTTGCGCTGCATCGAATATCGTGGTGGCTAATAGATAGAAAAAAACATATTAACAAAAAAAAAAAAAGAAGACAGAAAGGGGGGGCGGGGCGAGGGGAGGATTTTTACCATCTTGGCTGGTGACATGAGCGGTGGCTCCGTCGGTTGTCACGGAAACCGTAGGTTGTTGCAGTGGAACAAAAGACCCTACTTCATTCTCACTCAACAATGGTTGTTTATCTTCGGGCTGTTCTTCCATAGTTTTTTTTAAGGTACAGAAAATAAGGGGGGAGGGAACTCAGAAAATAAAAAAATAAAAAAGGTTTTTTTTTTTTTTTTTCCCACATAAAAGTTGATTCTATTGGCTTAAAAAAAAATGTTGGAGGATATGGGTTTTTTATTTTTCTGGAAAAATTCTTTCCCATTTTTTTTTTAATAAAAAGGCATATGCAGTGAAGCTTATAACTTGCGTATAGAGAAGTATTTGATTGAGATTCTTTAGGATAACCAGAACCGACGAGAAATGAGGGAAAGCGATTTTATTGGCTAAAAAAAAAAGTTTTCCCACTTTTTTTTGAGAGACCCCTTTATATTTTGTCAATTATGTCTTTACCTTGACAGAGTTTATACAATTAATTAAAACTTGGATACCCTCCTTCTTTCATTGACATTTTTGTGATGGGAAATTGGCATTGGCATACTTCTTTTAGAACATATCCTATGTCCTCGGCAGCCTTCATCGTCAATAACATAAAATCAAATATCATGACTATTACGAAAGGGTATTTACAAGCGATACCATCCTTCAGATGCGAATTTGTATGATGTTTGGTTATTAAAGCAAACTTTGTCTTTTCCTCAAACAATTTAGTTCCCATAGCTAACTTTGCAAACTCGTCGTGAGTTTAAGGCCGACATGATCCTCATGTCGACCTTCGGGGATACTGCCATATTTTTTAAAAGCTTTCGGAACTGTATCCCCCCTACCGATGAAGTTAATATTAATTGCAAAAGCTTTAATATCTGCTTTATAGAATAATTTACCAATGCAAACACATGTTTGAGAGGCTCAATAATTCTTCCAGGAATATTTAAACTGTTTATAAAAATATGTAATTCATGCATAATAAATATTCATAAATTACAAAACGTGTACATAAAGCTAACGACTTCTTGTTGGAGACGTTGTGATTTTGTTGAAGGATTTGTTATACTTTTGACCGCCTTTAATTTACCACGTGTTCATAGGCTGGGTGTCTAAAATTCAAGAACCCTACCTAGGAGGCCACCGTCCTATAGCAAGAACTAGCCGTAGTCGCAATACCGCAAGAGTTGCAATACATCTTTTATATATATATTTTTTTACAAATAATTTAGTGTTTCTTGAAAAAACAAAAGTCATTATAAACTAACCTCTTAACAATATTGATTACTTTTTTTTTTATAAAAAAGAAGTATGTTAAATGAAAAGAAAAAAGGGAGAAAAAAAGTGTGTAATCCAGCTTTATTTGTAGGGTTGATAAACAAGAGCTTATGTCAGAATGATTTAACTGTTTATTTATTCAGCTCATAATGTTTGAGCTTTTACTTACAATAGAAACATACCAAGCAAGTCAGAACTTGGTAGTTGTCAATTGTAGCATGTACTGATAGTGAAGCTTATTTTACGAAAATCAAAAATTGATAATCCTAGAAAGTTAAAGATCATATGGCATGTCAATCAACGTACATTAGCACACACAACTACTCAATCACCCTTTTGCAGGTCCACTTTGGGCTTTTTGAAGCTATGAAAATTGCTCTATTTCGTTTTTTTTTTATAAAGTGTACATTTGGGTTATCATTTTGTTTGGAACTTTCATGTTAGTATCACTCCATCATCTAAAACGAGCTACTCACTTTTTATAATTAAATTATCCTCGTAATGTGATAAACCAGTCCTTGCTTATCATTTTTCATTCCTATAAATGAAACTCAATTATTCACTCTTTTTCTCTTTTTTTACCCCAAGGTTAGTCACCAATGAATTTCTTTTCTCAAGTATACATGGCAAAATATTATATACACATCTCTTTTACATACAACCCCACCTGCTTTTTTCACGAGTCGATATTTTGGAAGCAAGCTGTCTCTATACTGTGCTGTTGTTGGAAGAATACAAATTTTAAGCCCTTAGATCAAAACTTAGTTCCAAACATTTTACTATTCTGAATTAATTTTGAAAAATAAAAATAAAAAATACTTAATACGTGTGGACAGCAACTTTTATTGGTTGCACTGGGGGGTTGTCATTACTGCCTCCATCCTAAAACCATCCATTATGATAGTAAGCTAAAATTTACGCTATCTGTATATTCTTGTCGTAAATTTACATCATTAAATCGGACTTTCACAGCATGACGAGTATGCCATTACAAGCGATCACTGATTAACTCAATACTTTTGCTATGATAAACTATTCGCTGAAACAGTAAGAGTCGTTGCTGTAAAGACAGCTTACGATGACTGCTTTAATTATTGCAGCTTCATCCAGTAGTAACGAGACTGAGGAAACATAGGAAGCTGAAGACTAAGCTACTTACTGTCGACCCATACAAGGCTGATAGTTATTATAATCATCTTACATAGTGTAGCATGCACTACAATACAGTCAGAAAGTCAGTTACAATCAAATTGCTTGCACCTAATTATCAAGTGGGTGATTTGCATAGACTTTAATAAAGAAGATAGGATTGAACGAAACATTTGGTGTTCAATTTGTTACCAAGAATGTGTCGTTGTGCAAAAGGTTTTTTTTAAAAAGCCGAGTGAAAAGCCATTGGCTAACATTTGTGCGTAGAACTCGAACTAAGCCGGCTTGGTATAACCCGGACCACAAGAAATGGGTGCGCGTAAAAAAAGCCGCGCACTATTAGAAACAGTCCGCGGAGTTTTGATAGTAAAAAAAGTAATAAATAGACCTCGCAATAAGAAATTTTTTATGTTTTTCTTTAACACAACGAGGCTCTTTAACTATTTGTACTTTATCCCATGGTACCTTCAGTCACTCAGTACTCGAAGAAAAGCTATGCTTTGTCAGACAACGGATCATGAAATGTTGTTATGATCTCTTTCAGCAATGGAAGTTATCATAACAGTGCAGTGAGTGTTCTGTTCACAGATGAAGCTTTATTTGTTATTTTTAAAAAAATGAAAATGAAAATGAAAACGAAAAAAAAAAAAAAAAAAAAATAAAAAATTTAAAAAAAAAATTATTGGGCAAGGGTTACTCGCAGGCCGTCTGTTTGTTTTTCCTTGATTATTATTATCAAATGTCAAGCTGACAACCCAACACATGCTTGCAATAGGAGGCTTTTTTTTCTCACAATTAGACCCAATCCGGGGGTGAGGGGTAACCCTTTTTTAACGTGACCCACGTATAGACAGTTTGAGAACATCATTATGGCACACGAACATTGCAGTTCTTTAAAGTAGCTGATGCTCCAATATATCGTGCAACTAAAGCCTTATTTATCAATCATCCCATTGTTTTCTCTCGCCAGGTACCATGATGTTTCAAATAGATCACTCAGTTTGGCAGATTTCTAAATAAACATATTTGTTATCTCTACATGTCTCATACTGCTCGCAGTAAACAACGACGAATTCTCAGGTTTCCTTGGTTACTGCTGGATGCAGGAGCAAATGCTATTGGATTAAAAAAATAAAAATTTGGGAGACGGACATTTTGGTTTTTTTAGGGTCAGGGTTATTAGGGTTAAATTGGATGTGTGTGTGTGTGTTGCCTAGCAAACAAATAAGAGTGAAGAATGGTCTATATGTATGATACATGAAACTGATGAGACGGAATCCCCGGATGATGATGGGAGACAACAACAAGCAGTTGTGTTACATATTGGGCTGAATAAGATGAATAAAAAGGAGGCACGCTATTTGTAACACGGATTCAACCTGTACCTGATTTCAACAAGGGGAGTGAGATACCCAGATCTACTACATTTATACGATAGAATGCAAATCACGTGTGAATCCCTTTCCCTTATTCCTCAGGAATACCTACCCCCGGGCCGCCGCCACCCACCCACACCCACATACTTTTTTTTTTTTTTTTTTTTTTTTTATTTTGCAACTCCCTTTTTCTTTTTTTATCTCTCATATAGAAACTCCTTTCAAGTTTTTTCTTTTTCACTCAAAAAATGTAAGTGTAAAAAAAATCAAGAGCAGACAACATAACGAAAAGACTAAAACTGTTTGAACAAAGGACTGCTGCTGACCAAGACGCAAACAGCCTTACACCACCTATTTCCAAAGGCTCCATCTCCACAACAAGTTGGGAAAAGGACACTGAGCCCATTCCTCGTCTTCAAATTGTAGATGAACACCAAAAATTCACGTAAGAAACAAAAAATAAGGAGACATTTTATTTAAGTTTTCTTACACACACGTATTGTTCAGCCAAGATTTACCTGCCTATCTTGAAAAGTGGGGTTTAGGGGACGCCGGATTTAAATACAATGTGGTTGCAGTATTTGGTTCTCAAAGTACCGGCAAAAGTAAGATCTGATCTCTCTCCCCCTCCTCCCCCTCCCTTCTTATTATATATTATTGACACGTCTCTTTTGTTATTTATTCAGGTACCTTATTAAACGGTTTGTTTGGAACCTCATTTGATGTGATGGATGAGAATCAAAGAAGTCAGACAACAAAAGGTATTTGGATGTCCCGTGGCAGAGGAATGCACGTTCTCGTGATGGATGTGGAAGGAACAGATGGTCGTGAACGCGGTGAAGATCAAGACTTTGAGCGTAAATCAGCTCTCTTTTCAATGGCCACCAGTGAAGTTATCATTTTAAACTTATGGGAACATCAGGTTGGTCTTTATCAAGGTGCAAATATGGGCCTATTAAAAACCGTCTTTGAAGTCAACTTGACCTTATTCCAAACTCAAAAAAGGTAATTATATCCTCTCTCTCTCTCTCTTTCTTATCCCTCACATCCCAACACTTACATGTTGCAAAATATAGCAAGGAAAAGACCCTCTTGTTGATCGTCATCAGAGATCATGTCGGTTCTACTCCATTAGCAAATTTAGCTAGAACTCTTCAAGCTGATTTGGAGAAAATCTGGGCTGGTTTATCAAAGGTAAAATAGTACATCCCCTTTCATAAACCTGTTATGCATATATTTTCTTACCTTTTTTTTTGGAAGCCCGAAGGACTTGAGGATTGTAAAATCCATGATTACTTTGATTTCATGTATACCGGCTTACCACACAAGGTTCTTTTACCCGAAAAGTTCAATGAAGAAGTAGCTAATCTTCGTTGCAGGTAAACTCACTTGACTCTTCATGGCACGTACCTTCACTCACTTTCTCATATATGCATTTTAGATTCAATGACCCTGCAAATGCCGATTTCGTCTTTAAGCCTGAGTATCATAAACGTATCCCTGCCGATGGCTACCATATCTATGCATCCA